TCAAAAATGTAATGCAACTTTTTGTCTCAATTTCGATATAATTACAGAAAAAAAATTGTGTTTTCATAAAAAATTATAATTCTTTGTTATAAAGAAAATAATAATTTCCTTTTATTCTTTTTTCATCGATAAATGAAGAGAACCTCCGATATGATGATTAAGAAGTAAAGAATCTACGACATCTCTCAGACTCTCATACACGGGAAATCCAAACTAATACGAACGAAGGCAGTGGAAAAAATGACCACCTCTAGAATTATAGTTTTTGTTAGAAGAAGCTTGTTTGCAAAAATTAAAAAAAAAATTTTTCTTTTAAAAGAACATTTTTTTTTTTATTTAGAAGAATTAGAGAAAGTCTAAATCATTAATAAAACGTAAAAAATTAAATTTCTCGTTTCTAGTTTGATTCTAAGATTAAAAAAAAATAATAAAAATAAAAAAAAAAAAATAATAATAATAATATAATAAAAAAATATTAATAATAATAAATTCTAATAATCATAATAATAATAATGATAATAATGACCATGATAGTAATGATAATGATGATAATGATAATAATGATCATGATATTAATGATAATGATGATAATAATAAAAATAACAATAAAAGCAATAAATATTATTCGCGTTACGAAATTTTAAACAATATTTCACATGAAAACAATCAAATGCACAAAAAATGACAATATTACGTATATAATTGCAAAAAAATTTCCATACAATTGAAATTTAAAAAAAAAAAATTTTTTAAAAAGCCAAACGTTAATGGCCAAATAGTTTGGAGTTCATAAAAGTCAAGTACCTTGAATGAAGGTCAGAAAAAAATATCCGAAATACCGGTTCAAGCGTGGGTTGGTCAGTATCAATATATACGTAAGTTGCCAAATCTTAATTATAAAGGTCACTGGTTTTTAAACTAATTAAAAATACAGAAATTTTTTAGCCAGTTGCCAAATAACGAAAAGCAATAAAACACACATACACTAATACAAACATTCGAATACAGACTTGAAAAATTAGAACGTTGTTATGCAATATAAGATATTAACTATTTTCATAAATTACATACGTGTGAATTTTTATAGAAAACAACATTTTTTTCTTTTAAAAATTTTTTTTTTTAATTAGAAGAAGAATTAGAGAAAATCTAAATCATAAAAAGTAAAAAATTAAATTTCTCTTTTTTACATTTATAAATTTTAAATTTAAATAGTAAACTATTTAAAAAATAAAAAGTACTTTAACAGTCTGAAAATTCCCTTTTCTGTAACATTCAACTTTTTGTTAGTAACAATATAATCATGATAATAATAAATTAATACTAAAACAAGACGTTTTTTATTTAAATTCAAATTCAAATTCAAATTCAGATAATAAAAATAAAATTAATTTATGTAATTAATATTAAACTGTATTAATAAAAGAATCAAAAATTTTGAAACAGTTGTTATTAAAGAAAAAATAGCCACAATATTTATATATAATAAAAATTATCACATATGTATAAAAAAATAAATTAGCATAACTTTTAATTTCTCTTAAATTTATGATATACTTTATTTTTTATACCTCATACAAACATTTATGATTTATTATATACACAATAAATGGGTTATTAAATATCCAAATCAAACCACTTTCATATAAGTAATAAAAAATCGATTAAAAAAGTGATCTAGAATAAAAGAGATTCCAGAATAAAATTATAATCCAATTAAATACTTATAAAAAAAGTGGTATAGAAACAAAAAATTAGAATGAAAATTTTTTTAAATGAAACTGACCTTTCGTTTAAAATAGTTAAATGGAATCATTATAATGTGGATGAGACTATAAATTTTTCATTTCTCTATTTAAAAACTAACTTTCAATTTCTAGACTAATTTAGTAATTATAGTTTTTAACATTTCAAATTTTCTAAATGATAGCTGTAGGTATAATTATTGGGTTATTTAATTTATTATTTAGCTTTTTGTATTTAATAATTACTTAATTACCACTATCATACTTATTAATATTATTATTATCATTACTATTATTATTATAATCATTATCATTATCATTCTTACTAGTAAATTTTACGCGCGAATCGTGATATATACATTTCGAATAAATTCAATTATTATCTAAACTCTTAATAAATCCTTCGAAACAATTCAATTAAATTTAAAAATAGTAAAATTTTTCGCAAGAATTCAATTATTTTCATAAATAGTAAAATTTTTTGCAAAAATAAAATTATTTTTAACAAAACTTTCATAAAATTTCACGTAAGAATTCAATTATTTTATAAAATTTTAATAAATCTTTCGAAATAATTTAATTACTTTTTTAAATAGTAAAATCTTTGCAAAAATTCAATTATTTTTAATTTCTACAATTTTAATAAAATTTAATGAAAAAATTCAATTTTTTAAAAATTGTAATAAAATTCTTCGAAAGAATTTAATTATTTTCATAAATAATAAAATTCTTCGTAGTATTTTCAATTATTTACAAAAATAGTAAAATTTTTCTTAAGAATTCAATTAATTAAAAAAGTTTTTTACACAATTCTTCGCAGGAATTCAATTATTTTTCAAAATTGTAATAAAATTCTTCGTTAGAATTCAATTATTTGCAGCAATAATAAAATTTTGCGCAGGAATTCATTTATTTTTAATAATTTTGATAAAATCATTAGTAAAAATTGAATTATTAATTGAATTCAATTAATAAAAAGAATTTTTTACACTTCTTCTCAGGAATTCTATTAATTTCACGAATAAAAAAATTTGTGTTAAAAATTCTATTAATTTCATAAATAATAAAATTCTTCGTATGATTTCAATTATTTCCAAAAATAATAAAATTTCTCGTAAGAATTCAATTAATTGAACAAATTTTTTATACAATTCTTCGCAGAAATTCAATTATTTTTAAAAGTTGTAATAAAATTCTTCGTAAGAATTCAATTATTTGCATAAATAATAAAATTCTTCTCAGGAATTCAATTTTATTTAATACAATTTTAATAAATTTTAGTAATCAAATATTTAATTATAATTATTATCAGAAACGATTATTTAAAAAAGTTGAAAAAAATTCTTTGTTTAATTCAATTATTTTTAATTTAATTTTCAATTAAAATTATTTAGAAAACTACATTATTTTCAAAGAAATTTAAAGAAATTCTTCGAAAGAATTTAATTATTTAGAACAGATTACCAGAATACAACAATTATTAATATAGATTATTATTATTTTTTTTCATGTTATTATTATTATTAATGCCTGTTAAACTTTTTTAATTATATATATTATATAATTATATTTTACTCGATTCCTGGATAAAAAAAAAATTGAACCAAAAAAGTTACTAACCAAGTTATTTTGAAATTACTAGTTTCTATTTAAAGTAGTTTACGTCATAATTTTCGAGAAAAAATATCAAATTTCACTTATAATTTTTGTGTGACAGTTTGTGTAAATTTTATTTATGTAATTATCAATGTAAATTGATAATTGACGAAATGATGTCTGATGAGAAATTTTATAAATTATTAATTAGGTTTTTCTTTATTTGTTATAAAAATTATCACGATCGGACGTATTTATTTATTTATTTATATGCGATATAAATAATGTAATAAACAAATTGAAGTATTATATTGAATTCGAAAGAAAACTCCCTTTCGGGTGTTCAATTGAATTGAATGTGCGGTACCACGGTAATAAATCTTTCCTCTCTATTCTCAAGTTTCACCATGCAGGATTAAACCTATTGATCAATAATAATTCTTTAACGGTACAAGAGTTTTACTTCGCTTTCAATTTCGTATCGTGTGGCACCTGAATTTTAATTTCGAGCTGTAAATTCTTCAAATCGTCTTCGATTGAATTTTGGAAAATTCAACAAAATAAATTTTCAAATTTAGATTTTATTTCACAATCATTGATCATTTTGAACGAAAGGCAATAATTCTAGTCTATAATTATCACCGAAAGTACATACACACTATTTTATCATTGCCCAACTATTTTTTTTTGCCATAAACATCAACACTTAATGGAACATGTTATCCTTCAATTTATAAACTTTTAAGCGCATCATTTTCTCTTCGGGAATTATTTCAAATATTTGAAAGCGTAAAATGATATAATTCACGTATAATGTTTATTGCATTGCATTTTCTACCGGGAGTAGATAAATTCTCGGTTGTCTTCTCTAGAGGAGAAGAAGAAGAAGAAGTCTATACAAAAACACTTGTGTATAAAATTTCAGTCGGAAGAATTATTTTAAATATTCGAAAGCAGAAAATTTAATGTTACTACTATTTTCCTCATCTAATACTATAACCGTTTTTTTTTTTGAACAATTATTATCATCATCATAATTTTTTTTCGAATATGTAAAACTGTTATTTGAGGGAAAAATAATTTCTGTACTGAAATAACGGATTTCGCTATAATTCGAAGCATATTTTTAACAAACATTTATGAAAATTTTACCTAATGGTTTTGGGTTGACTTGATTATTTTTTTACCTCAACGAACTGGTATCTAATAATCGTTTTGGGATTCGATCAAGTAGGTATCATTTCAACAGAATACGAAATGATCAGGTACCAATTTTGCTGTTTCATTTTGTCCAAGTCTCTCGAAACTTTAAGTTCTATTAATATCAACTGTATTATTATCACTATCAGTTTTAGTACCGTAATCATTTTTAGTACCATAATCATTTTTGGTACCAAAATCATTTTTAGTATCATTATCATCATCATTAGTATCAGTATCATCATCATTAGTAGCAGTATCACCATTTTCATCAAGAGCGTTATCATGATCTTTGTAAAGCACACCATCATCATCTTTAGCAACAACATTAACATCATTAACATCCTTATCCGGTACTTCATCATCCTTAGCGAGAACACCACATCATCATATCCGCAAATAATATCCAACACATCTAAAATTTTCTTCTAAATTTTTAGCAATAAAAAAAGTACTCACCAACACCGACGGCGAAGGATATCCACAGAGCACACAACACACGAAACAGAAAGGTGAAACGAGACGTCCGGTGTACCATTGTCACAATTTCGCACCCGCAGGTTCCCGAACATTGCACATTAGCTTCTCTTCGCCGGGATTTCGATCTTCTTCATCATCATCTTTAACATCATCATCATCTAGTCATCATGTACCAAAACCCATAGCTTTTGTTTCCTATTTATTTTCCCCAGAAAAAAAAAAATGAACGATTATAGTTGAAACACAACTGGCCGATTATATACGGAAAAAGTCTCCGCACAAGAGGAGAGATTAATCACGTGTGCGCGGGTCAACTTCAGGAAAAAGAATTCACACGTCCGCTTCTCAGGTATGTCTCGTGTCTGGCGAGCAAGATCCCCCACCTGAAAAGAGAGGCATTACTATCTCAGAGAGTTGAGCTCCACAAAGTTGTTGGGCCAAGTGCGGCGCGGTGCGAAGTGAAGCTGAGCAACCGCGGCGGTGAAAGTCGCCGGCCTATTTGTTTCATTCCTTGCAAACGTGCAGCAGCGCCGCAATCGTTTGCCGTCGCCGTCACCACCGCCACCGCTTCATAATCGCCCCGGACGACGACGTCACCATACAAACAAGCAGGCCTAGATTCTGTGTCTGCGGCACAGATATATTGCTCAAGAGGACCATTGTCCTTTCAGTTAGGACTCAAGGTCGATCTAAACCATCAACTGACACCTCCAACCTAGCAGGCACTTTGATATCGTGGGCAATTGATCAAGTAAACGAGAATACTGTGCAGTTGTACAATCCATTTACAGATGCATTCGATATCAATGGGGATTTCTCCAACACTTGTGGTGTATATCAAGTTCCGAATATATTTCCTTCGAGAACCTATTTCAACAAACAGAAACCAAATCAATTATTAAAAACCAACAAATATTTTTATTCTAATCTACATAAATTTTTAGATTTCAATATTGTTCAAGTATACCTAAAATTACCAATAAAAATGGAACAAAAAATACAACAAATTACAGATTATTGCAGATCTTACTCAAAATGAACCACTGTATATTAAATAATTTTTTTTCCCATCAGTATATCAATCAAAGAGTTACAATTGACGGTAGCTATGCATTCGATGGTAGTGTGAGATAACCTATGTCAGTTATTACAGTCGATGATATCTTGCAACAATGGAAGAAGTTACAGTCGTGGAGGTCAAGATTGACAGCAATAATCATACGATGATGGCAATGGTCATAGGAATTGCGAAAAGAATGTCAAAATTCGACAAAAATTTATATACGTAAAAAAATGAGTTTAGTCAGATTTTTCAAGCGAATCCAACTCACGTACAGCTAAAATGAATAATCCTAAATCATCAATTCTAAGGATTCTATATTTTAAATTGAAGATAAATTTTTTCTTAAATCACTTTTTCCTGCAGATGACAAATTGAGAAATTTCTAGAAACTAAAGGCAATTTTTCGTGAATAATAATTTTTCTGTAAATAATTAATTTTGAGTGTAAATACACTGTACCCAACATTGCTTCAATCAAGGTAGTTACAAAAATTTAATTTTGTTTTTCCCTGATTTCCAGACTTTTTCCCGAATGATTTTGACTTTTTCCCTGACACCAAAAAAATATTCTGATTCACTCTAAAAATTATTAGATACTCAAAAGAATGTTCTATTATATTCATTTACGAATTTCTTTCATTGTAAAATTATTCGAAAACACCAATAACTTCTTTTTTAAATAAATATTTAATTATTATTATTTTTCCAGAGGAATTAAGATTTTCAACAAATTTCAAATTCAAACCTTTTGAAATTCAACAATTCAACAATTATGATAAAATCATAAAATTTATATCATAAGAATATTGTTACTGTAACTTCTTGAAAATTATTTTCATCATTTCCAGGCAACTATTATTTTCATCAATTATTTTTAACTAAAATTCTTCTCTAAATCAATTATTTTTAATAATTTTTGAAAAACTGTTTTAAGAATTCTCAAATCTATTTGTTAACAATTCAATTTTACGAAATTTCATTGATTATTCGGAAGTTCTTTAATTGCATTTTGGAGAATAAAAACTTCAAATAATTTTTTTGAAAAATTCAATTAAACTTATTCAAAAAAAATTAATTCTACAAAATTGTTAGTTACAAGTATGAAAAATTCAGATTTTCAAAGAATTTAATTTGAAACCTTTTTAAAATTAAATTATTTCTCAAAATCCCTGCTATAATGCTTTTAATATTCAATTATCTAAAATTTTAACTGAAATTCATTTTTAAATCCATTTTTATTAGAAAATACTACGAGAATTCTATTATTTTTAAAAAAATTAATAATTTATTGAATAATTGATTGTTTCTAAAAATTGAATTCAGATAAAGAATTTTATAAACAAATTTTTAAATAATTGAATTCTTTTGACGAATTTTAATAAAATTTTTAAGAATAATTATATTTTTCGAGAAATTTGATTAACATTGTACTAAAAATAATTGAATTTCTAATAAAAATTTTATTATTTACGAAAATAATTGAATCCCTGCAAAAATTTTATTATTTATGAAAATAATAATTGAATTTCTGCAAATTTTTTATTAATTATGAAAATAATTAAATGTTTGCTTAGAATTTTTTTAAAATTTTTTTTTAAATAATTAAATTATTTACGAAAATTTTATTAAAATATTTGATATTAAAAAATATTAAATTGAGGGAAATGTTTGAAAATAATTGAAATTTTGACAAGAATTTTATTAAAATACATTATAATAATCGTAAGTTCCTTTCCGTTAGCAAATTATCTGCATCCATTTGTTTGTTTTGAAAATTAAATTTTGTGGGTTAAGTATTGGCATTTTTTATTTTTTAATGTCAAACTTTTTAATGTGGAAAATACTTTACTTATTAAATTGTCTCGACTCTTTGGTAAAAAGTCTAAAATTATCAAAAATTCGAAAAAATTCAAAAATTCAATTTTCTTAAAATTCAACATTTTTTCTTCTCTTTTATGGGATTAAGCTTCATTATTTTTGTGCTTTTAGAAAATACTTTACTTATTAAATTGTCTCGAATTTTTGGTAAAAAATCTAAAATTATCAAAAATTATCAAAAATTCAAAAATCCGAATTTCTTAAAATTCAACATTTTTTCTTCTCTTTTATAGGATTAAGCTTCATTATTTTTGTGCTTTTGGAAAATACTTTACTTATTTAAAAGTCTCGACTCTTTGGTAAAAAATCTAAAATTATCAAAAATTCGAAAAAATTCAAAAATTCAATTTTCTTAAAATTCAACATTTTTTCTTCTCTTTTATGGGATTAAGCTTCATTATTTTTGTGCTTTTAGAAAATACTTTACTTATTAAATTGTCTTGAATCTTTGGTAAAAAATCTAAAATTATCGAAAATTATCAAAAATTCAAAAATCCGAATTTCTTAAAATTCAACATTTTTTCTTCTCTTTTATGGGATTTAGCTTTTTTATTTTTGTGCTTTTGGAAAATACTCTACTTATTAAATCGTCTCGAATCATTGGTAAAAAATCTAAAATTATCAAAAATTCGAAAAAATTCAAAAATTCAATTTTCTTAAAATTCAACATTTTTTCTTCTCTTTTATGGGATTAAGCTTCATTATTTTTGTGCTTTTGGAAAATACTTTACTTATTAAATTGTCTTGAATCTTTGGTAAAAAATCTAAAATTATCGAAAATTATCAAAAATTCAAAAATCCGAATTTCTTAAAATTCAACATTTTTTCTTCTCTTTTATGGGATTTAGCTTTATTATTTTTGTGCTTTTGGAAAATACTCTACTTATTAAATCGTCTCGAATTTTTGGTAAAAAATCTAAAATTATCAAAAATTCGAAAAAATTCAATTTTCTTAAAATTCAACATTTTTTCTTCTCTTTTATGGGATTAAGCTTCATTATTTTTGTGCTTTTGGAAAATACTTTACTTATTTAATAGTCTCGACTCTTTGGTAAAAAATCTAAAATTATCAAAAATTCGAAAAAATTCAAAAATTCAATTTTCTTAAAATTCAACATTTTTTCTTCTCTTTTATGGGATTAAGCTTCATTATTTTTGTGCTTTTGGAAAATACTTTACTTATTAAATTGTCTCGACTCTTTGGTAAAAAATCTAAAATTATCAAAAATTCGAAAAATTCAAAAATTCAATTTTCTTAAAATTCAACATTTTTTCTTCTCTTTTATGGGATTAAGCTTCATTATTTTTGTGCTTTTAGAAAATACTTTACTTATTAAATTGTCTCGAATTTTTGGTAAAAAATCTAAAATTATCAAAAATTTGAAAAAATTCAAAAATCCAAATTTCTTAAAATTCAACATTTTTTCCTCTCTTTTATGGGATTTAGCTTCATTGTTTAAAATAAGCAGCCCCATACAACATTCCCGCGCGCTTGCGCGCGGATAGTTTGGCTAGTTTTTAGAAATAATTGGATTTTGAATAAGAATTTTTTATTTGTAAAGATAATTGAAATTTTGAAGAGATTTTTTAAACATTTTTGAAAAGAATTTTTGCAATAAAAAAAATTCAATTTCTTCAACTTTTTCAAAAAAATTATTTCTACAGAACTTTTAGTTAAAAGTATGAAAAATAAAAATTTTCAAAGAATTTAATTTGAAACATTTTTAAAATTCAATTATTTCTCAAACTTCCTGCTATAATGCTTTTAATATTCAATTATCTAAAATTTTAACTGAAATTCATTTTTAAATCCATTTTTATTAAAAAATACTACGAGAATTCAATTATTTAAATAAAAAAATAAATAATTTATTGAATAATTTAATGTTTCTCAAAATTGAATTGTTTTGACGAATTTTAATAAAAATTTTTAACAATAATAACATTTCTCGAAGTATTCGATTAAAATTGTACTAAAAATAATTGAAATTCTGTGATGAGTTTTATTATTTATGGAAATAATTAAATATTTGCGTTGAATTTTATTAAAATTTTTGATAGTAATTGAATTTCAGAGAAGAACTTTATTATTTATAAAGATAATTGAAATTTTGACTTGAATTTTAAAGAATTTTTCTAAATTTTTGAATATAATTAACTTTTTGCGAAGAATTTTATTATTTTTGAAAATAATTGAATTAAGTTATTTAAAAAGAAATTATTGTCAGAAATAGAAAAAATTGAATGTTTTATATTGGAATTCAGAATTTTCTTATGAATTCTAAAAATTTAATTTTTTTCAGTACTTTTAATAAAAATCCCTGAATTTCCTGATCTGTGGCAATCCTGTTTAATTTAGCAAAATTGCTTCAATATTGTAATAATGCTGCAATTTTTATATACATAAACTTAGCAGCAGTTGGTGGTCAAATAGTGGTTCAGCTAATTTAAGGTCAGACGATTGTCTGGGGCCTGGACTCAGGGGTTATGGTCAATATAGGACGAACCGTTTCAGAGTACTTTACGCACTCAATGATAATAGAACCGTTAAAAATCTCCAAAACTTCAAATACAACGTTTAATTGAAAATAGGAGGTTAAAGTTTTGAACGTTCAAATGAACGAAATTTATTTATTTCTTCTTCAAATTAAATTTTTATTACTATAATTTTGCGTCACTATTAAGCAAATTAATTATAATGTTTCTAAATGTAAAATTTGAGTTTTTAATTTGAATTGTAATCAATAATCTATGAAAATATTTTTAACAAAAAATATTTCGTTCATTTGAACGTTCAAAACTTTTTGTTCATTTGAAAATTCGAAGTTTAAAAAATTTAAAGATACAAAATCATTTTAAGTAGATTTGAAACTTTGGGTTTTTCTCTCCATCACTAATTATCGACCTGCAATATTAGAATTTTGAATAAAAAAAAATTACCCTGAGTGTAAAACTTTCAAGAAATTAAATTACAATTACTAATTAGGTTCGTAAAATACAGAAAATGCATATTATCAAGTTTTAATCAAATGACTCGAATATACCTGTTAACTACAATAGTTCTTAATTAGACGCTAATCTATTATCTACTAGTAGTGATATTGCAGATATCAATAGAATTATCCCATGTCTAAAGAATATTCTTGTACTTATGAGATTTCAACCATGACGAAAAAAACCTATCTTGTAATTTATCTTATATATTGAAACTTTCCAAATCTGCTTAAAACATAATGGATGTAAAATTAGATGTCTTGCAAGTACCGCTGTTAGGTACTCAAAACCTATATGTACTGATAAATTTACTGCATTTGCTGCATCTATAAACAAAAAATTAAAATTTCTAATAAATAGACAATTTTTACACCATATTTTCTATTGTGTTAAATTTAGTTTGCTTCAGGTTACTATAAGTCTCAAATGTCAGGTAAAGGTCGGGCACTTCACACACTTGTTAGGGGGTACCATAATTTGATTTCTCTGCGGCTAACAGAGATATTCTGAGTAAAATAAAGTTCATTCCTGAATGGGGATAAAAATTTAATAATCATAATTGACACGCTACCTTCTGCAAATGTACAAGAGAACATTCAGATAAATTAAATTCAAACGAAAACATTACTAATAATGTTCATTAATTAATCATTATACTATATTACATAAATTTAAAAATAGAATTTAAAAATAAAATATAAAAACAAAAAAAAAATAACAGGGTTGCCACAAAAAATTAATTTTTTTTCCAGATTTCCAGAAAAAAATTTGACTTTTTCCCTGACTCTACAGAATATTCTGATTCAATCAAAAAATGATTAGATAATAAATAAAAATAAAACTACTTTAAAAATACTTATTAAAAATTATAAAAAAGTACTCAAAAAAATTCTATTACATTTATTTACGAATATTTTTAATTGTAAAATTATTCGAAAACATTAATAACTTCGAAAAATTAATTTAAAACTATGACAAAGTGAATGTCAATTGTTTCGTTGAAACATTCAGGGAAAATTCAAAATAAATAATTTCATTTTTAAATAAATATTTAATCATTATTATTTTTCCGTAGGAATTAAAATTCTTCAAAACATTCAAATTCAAACCTTCATGAAATTCAACAACTTATAAGAATATTATTGTCAAACATGAAAATATCAATCACTCCGAGTTGAAAACTCGAAGACTGATATTTTCATGTTTTATAATAATTTAAACTTCCATAAAATATTTTTTAAAAAAATTAAATTATTTACAATAAAATTCTTCGCAAGAATTCAATTATTTTTACAAGTAATAAAATTTTTCACATGAATTCAATTATTTAAAAAAATGTAATAAAATTCGTTATAAAAATTCAATGTAATCAGATAAATAATAAAATTTTTCATAGAATTTCAATTATTTTTAAAACAATTTTAAATGAATTCCTCTCGAAAAATGTAATTATTTTCAAAATTTTTTTGCAAAAATTCAATTACATTTCATAAATAATGAAATTCGTGGCTGAAATTCAAATATTTTCAAAATCTACTATTTTAATAATTTTACTCAAAAGAATTCAATTATTTTTAAAAAATGTAATGAAATTCCTTGCCAGAATTCAATTTTTTTCAAAAATAATAAAATTCTTCACAGGATTTCAATTATTTAGAAAAAATGTAATGAAAATTTATTGCAAGAATTCAATTATTCTCCTAAATAATAAAATTCTATACAGGATTTCAATTATTTTTAATGCAATTTTAAGTAAATTCTTCGAGAAATGTAATTAGTTTCAAAAATTATATTAAAATTCGTTATAATTATTCAATTATCAATTATTTCTAATAATTTTTGCAAAAGTTCCTTGAGAATTTTTCATTCCGTTTGTTTACAATTTAATTTTACGATATTTCGATTATTTGGAAATTCTTCAATTAAATATTTATTATTCATAAAAATAATTTAATCTATGTAAAAAACTTTATTATTTATGAAAATAATTGAATGATTGCGAAGAAATTGATAAAATAATTGTAAATAATTGAATTCATGTGAAATTTTTATTATTTATGAAAATAGTTGAATTATTGCGAAGAAATTAATAAAAAAAGTGATAAATAATTGAATTCCTGTGAAATTTTTATAATTTATGAAAATAATTGAATTATTGCAAAGCAATTTATAAAAAATTTGTAAATAATTAAATTCTTTTGGAAAATTTTATTAAAACAGCAGAGATTAAAAATCATTGAATTAAGGAAAATTTTTAAAAAATAATTGAAATTTTACTATAAGTTTTATTATTTATAAAGATAATTGAATTAAATTAATGGAAGTTTTTGAAAATAATTGAAATTTTGCGAAGCATGTTATTAAAATTTTTGAAAACAATTGAATTTTGGAGAAGAATTTTATTATTTTTAAAGATAATTGAAATTTTGACTAGAATTTTTTTTTAAATTTTCAACATAATTGAATTTCTGCAATCATTTGTAACTTTTCCAAAATTCAATTTTTTCCAGTACTTTAATAAAAATCCCTGACTTTTCCCTGATTTCCCTGACTTGTTGCAACCCTGAATAAAATATAAAAACAAAATATCTAAATAAAATACAAAAAAAGAATATAATTAATACAATATAAAAACAAAATATGTAAATAAAATATAAAAACAGAATAGAATAATATAATATAAAAACAAAATAGAAAAATAAAATATAAAAAAATATAATAAATAGTAACCGTTTGATTAGTATATAAAAAGTGTGAGATAAAATTTTACGTACCAATAAAAAAAAATATGGAGGCGGATCTGCACTTCCAGGTTTATCGACTCATACACGAGAGAATGACTCAGTCGGAATTTTTGTTCCAGGAACCGTTTTGGATTGCACTCATCTTGACATTGAACAAGGTGTTTGGGCATCGTGAATGTCCAAAATGTAAATGCTTTTCATTCTGAAATACGCTCTTCTATCTCTTCAATCTTGACTTCTTCTCTAGACACAAAAAAATTCCCATTAAAAAAAGCACATAGGTCGAGGGAGTTTTTTTTTGCGTATTTGGTATTTTTGATCTTCCAGTTAGATATTTCTAATTAACCTTTTTTTAGATACTTTTTTCTCATATAAAAATTACGATCTCTAATTTAATTGAAAATCCTAATTGAAAATCGAAATTGAAATTACACTCTGAAATTGATATAAATTTTTTTACTTTTTAAAAAATAGTGTTAACATCAAATTAACTAATTGTAAGTAACTAATTGAATTAATTAAATTTTTTTAAACATAATTAATTTATGAAATTGATTTGTTTTTTCGAATTAGTATCATAATTAATTTATGCGTCTAATTAAAAGAGAATTTAAAAATAACTGTTCCTAGTTCTTACAAAATGAGTCGCCTGGTTTTTTTTTCTAAATTGATTGAATACATTTTTATATATTGATTGATACATACTAAAAGGTGTTTATTTTTTTAAACGTATTCTTTGATTTTAATGAATGAATTTTAAACAATGAGTAACCTTTTTCTTTTTTAAGATCCACTTTTAACTGAGAAATAATTTTTTACTCAATGCACACACTTCAAATCCTACGCACACGACTTTTCCTTGTGGTATTATTAATTATGAAGTGTTTGTGCGGCAATCTTACTACTATTCCTCATCATTTGCTTTAATTATATAAATTTTCATAATATCAATTTTTGCTACTAATCTTTCAGAGATTCTATTTCTAATAAACGAAAATATTAATTTTTGCTACTAATCTTTCAGAGATAGAAAATTTTTTCCTATCTTCGAATTAAGTGTGCTATACGTACAGAAAATAATAATTCTTCTTCCCAAATGGCTTCTTTGGTACAAAATTTCAGGAGAAGACAAAATAATAATTGAAATGGTATTGAGCCCTAAACATCGAAGAAAAAATTCCAGGACTGGAAAATAGTTGTTTTCCTGAAACAAAAAAAAATAGTAATTATACATAAAAAAAACTAAAAATTAATTTTAATCTAAATTAATTATATTTAGATATTAAAATAGTACTTGAAACAAGTATATCCATATTGAACATAATTTTTTTTTCTTCTCTAGAAAAGAACTCGCCTGACCTAGTTGAGGATTCTGCATGTATTTTTTTTATTTCAACATTAGAAATTCAAGGTCCAATTATTTATTCTACGACAATAATACACCAAAAGTTTTTTTTTTATAAAATAAATATTTTTTACATAATATAGAGATCAATCGAGAAATTAATTTCCTGTTAATTTGACATGACACGTGCGTTTAGACTTTATTGACGCAAAGAATTTCATTTCACATTTATTTATCACCGCGCCTACATTAATTTGACCTTAATGCTAAAATGTTTCAACAGCAATTATAAATATTTTTAAAACTTCAATTTTGTGACAATTATTTTTTCTCTGAATATAAAATTCCCCACATAAATAAAAATACTAAAATGTACATAATTACAAAACTATTGTTATCAATAGTAAAAGGAAATTATTTTCCAATGAAAAAATAAAATTATAAATTGTTATAAAAACGATTATGTAAAAAATTTTTAATTTTCAGAATCTCATACAACCGGAAATGCAAAGAGGATGTATAAAAAAATGAATATTAACTTTTTTTTTTGAATAACAGGATTATAAAATTGTCATTACTCTTTGTTTATAATAAACGATTTAAAATTGATTGGTTTCTTGGAAATAGATATCGAATTGTTCGAAACACAAAGTATTTTTTTTCTCGAATAAATCTTTTACAAATGTATTGACATTTATTGCATCATTACTCAAGGTGTGCGAAAAACTTTTGCAAATAAGCTAATGGATGTTTTAAGTTTCTTGAACCCGGAAATATATACAAGCGAAACGGAGAAACACATTGTCAATGCGCAGAAAAAAGAATATTCTTTATAGAAGTTTGTATATTTAAATTTTCATAATAAAAATTGAGAAAATCGAATAAATTTTTGCAAAATTAGACAAGAAACTTTCAAATATATATTTCTCTTGAACTTCGGATCTGTTTTTATTTTTTTTTTTTTTGCTTTTAAATTAATATTTAAAAGCAAGAAAATAAAAACAGGTGGGATTAAAGAATTTAAAAATAGTTTAGATAAATAAACACTTGAAATCAAAAATAAGAAAAAAGAAACAGTAGTGTCAGTTTTTGAAAAATATGATTGATAACATGTTCGTTATAAAATAGTTAATTTTTTGTTTTGAATTCTAAAAGAAGGCGTGTAGCTACAGAAGTTTCGGGACTGAGAGAATCAAAAGTCCTTCTCGATGAAGGTCAATATATATTCGCAAGGTCAAATCAATGTCAATGCGAGAGAAGGGCAAAAAGTTTTTATAAGAAAATAAGGTCTCATTGATTGTCAATGATACGGTCGATCAAGAGAAAAACGAAACAATTTTTGCGGCTTGCGAAAAAGAAAAAGTCATAAACTTATATACAACGTAATACAAATATTTTATATTCTGTATATTAATAACACGTCACGTAATTATTGTCTGGCACTGATTCGCCAACAATCTTTTCGTACCAATCATTTTAATTGTGTCATTCAAGGCTAATAGAAAATCGAAACTGAAATATAAAAAGAAATACAAAAATTAAAAATATTTAATCAATGAAAATTTCACTGAGGTAAAAATTTTAGTTTCAAGAAGAAAAAAAATCTCTGAACTATTTGATATTGATTAATTTAGCGCTCCATCGATTTCAATTTTATTTTTACTTTTAATTTTATATTAGGTATATATTTGTTATTAGAACTATTCAACTAGAAAAAGATTCGAATTTTTTAGTCTTGATCTTAAATTCACATTTAGTATTTTAATTTTTTTCTTAATAATAGTAAAATTTATGCAAAAATAAAATTATTTTCAAGTAAATTTTAATAAAATTTCACAAAAGAATTCAAATATTTTCTAAAATTTTAATTAATCGTTCCAAACAATATACAATTATTTTTATACATAGTAAAACTCTTTGCAGGAATTCAATTATTTTCAAAACAATGTTAATTAAATTCCTCGGGAGAATTCAATTTTCAAAGAAATCTTCAATACAATTCGAATAAATTCAATTATTTACTAAAATCTTAAAAAATCCTTCGAAAAAATTCAATTATTTTTATAAATAGTAGGTAAAATTAATCGCAAGAATTCAATTATTTTTATAAATAGTAAAATTCTTTGCAGAAATTCCATTATTTTCCAAACAATTTTAATTGAATTCCTCGGAAGAATTCAAATATTTTTAAATATTTCCATAAAATTCAATTATTTCCTAAAATTTTAATAAATTCTTCGAAATATTTCAATTATTTTTATAAATAGTAAAATTCTTCGCAATAATCAATTATTTTTATAAATTTTAAAATTCTTGGCAAGAATTTAATTATTTTTGTAAATAATAAAATTCTTCTGAGAAATTCAATTATTTTCAATACAATTTTAATAAAATTTATAGGAAAAAATTCAATTACATTCATAATAATTTTAATAAAATTTCTCTAACAGATTCAATGATTTTTAAAAATTGTGATAAAATTTTTCTAAACGATTCAATTGTTCTCAAAAGTTTTTAATTAAATTCTTTGTAAATTTCAATTATTTTCAAAATTTACAGTAAAAATTATTAAAAAAAAGTTCATTATTTTAAAGAATTTTAATAAAAATCTTGCCAAGAATTAAATTATTTTCAATATAATTTTAATTACATTTTCTCGAAAGAATTTAATTTTCTGAAAAAATGTTGATAAAATTCTTGAATTCAATTCAATTATTTTAGAAAGTTTTAATAAAATTCTATTCTAGAATTCAATGATTTTCAGTGCATGAAAAATCTAATTATTTCTGAAAATAAATGAACTCTTGAATAGAATTTTATTAAAACTTTCTAAAATAATTGAATCCCTGCCAAAAAAATTTATTATTTCTGCAAATAATTGATTTTTTGTAAAATTTAAAAAAATAATTGAATTTATGAGAAGAATCTTATGAAAATTGTATTTAAAATAATTGAATTCCTATGAATATAATTGAAATTTTCGAAGAAATCATTTAAAAATGGAATTGAAAATAAATGAAATTCTGATAAGAATTTTATTATTTATATAAAAATAATTGAATTTTTTTACGAAGATTTTTATTATTTATAAATTGACTTTTTGCAAAGAATTTTATTACAATTATTGAAAATAATTGAATTTTTCATAAAATTTAATTACTTTTAAAATTTTCAGTAAAAATTATTAAAAAAAACTTTCAAATAAAATGTTCAAGAAAATTAAAATAAATCCTTCGAAACAATTCAATTATTTCAAAGAATTTTAATAAAAATCTTGCCAAGAATTAAATTATTTTCAATACAATTTTCATTATTTTTTTTATGAAAGAATTAAATTATTTTCAATAGGTACAATTTTAATTATATTTTTTATGAAAAAATTAAATTATGGAAAAAAATATTGACAAAATTCTTGAAATGAATTCAATTATTTAAAAATTTTTTTATAAATACTTTACAAGAATTCAATGATTTTCAGTTCATTAATTTTAAAAGTTTAAACATTTAAAAAGAAAAATTATTTTAATAATTTAATAAAATGTTGAGATATTTTTCTTTTAATATTATATTTCTTTTCCCACAGTATCTAAATAAAAAAAAGATTGAGCCTAATGCATCAAAACAAAAAAAAATTCTCTCTTGTAAAAAATGCACAACCGCTATTAGCAAATCCTAATGACTTTTTTTCTTCTATTTTTAGAACCTTTTAATTAATTGAAAGAGATTTCGAAGAAAAAATTCACGGTTATAGAAAGAAGAGTTTTTTATCTAGAAAAAGAAGAAGAGTTTTTGTATGTGTATACGAAACAAAAATAACGCTTTTTGAGGAGAGAATTTCATAATTAGAAACTTACAAGTCTTGAGACAGAGAAATATTCTGTTAATTAGATAAAATTATCTTGATTTCAAAAGTGTGGAAAATTATTCATTATTGGGGGAAAAATGAATAATGAAAGTATATGTTAATTTACAGGAACATTTTAGTTTACTATTAACACGTTACTTCTTACACAAATAAAATACTTTTTTTGTGTGTTAAAAAAACAAAATTATATCAAATATTAACATTCTGGAAATTCTAATATCGATTTTATATTTTCAAAATCAAAAATCAAAATCAAAGAATCAAAATTTTCTTATCCAAACATGTTGGTCGAATTGAAGTTTTAATGACATTGAAACGTCTAAAATTTATAGTTTTGTCCACTAAAATAATTTCAATTCGAAAGTGAATAATAATAATTATTTTATTATTATTATTATTATTATTATTGAGAGACAAGGATGTGGAAATTGAAGTTCGCATCGCATGAATCATTTTCAAGGTCGTAAAAAAAGGAGATTGATTTATTCTTATAGTATGTATCTATAGTGAATGACAATAAGAATAGTAAATTCCATTATTTCAATACCGGATCTATAAAGTTTTTTTGAAATTAAGAATTTCCTGGAACGCCCAGAAAAATTGACCACACGGGAATTGATAAATATAGATTAAGACCGCGAGTCAAGTTCTCAGCGAAGAAATTCCTCCAGTTTATATATGAAATATCCATGTCGAACCTGCCCGTCTAATTTGTCGATACCAAAACAGGAACTAAATCCTAATCAATATAAACGATCAATCGTGACTCACATTTAAAGATATATAATAAAAAAGAAAAACACTATGAAAAAATTGACTACTCTATTGAATCATTGCCGCTGTTAAAAAGCATTAATGTAAGAATAAATTTTTCTAATTTTTCCAAACAATATAATTAAACAATTATTTTCCTAATGTGTGTAAATTTATTACAAAAAAATTGTAGCAAATATTTTTTTCCATAATATTCCATTTTTCATAATTATAATCATAAATTATTAATTTTCGAATAAAACAAAGAAGTAATTAGTATTACAATGTCAATATATAATGTAGAAAAAAATTAAAAACAGATTGTCACTAAAAAAATTAATTTTTTTTTCCTGACTGATTTTGACTTTTTCCCTGACCCTAAAGAACATTTTGATTCACTCTAAAAATTATTAGATACTACAAAAATGTTCTATTACATTTATTTACCAATTTTTTTTATCGAAAACATCAATAATTTCTTTTTTAAATAAATAATTAATTATTATTTTTCTTTAGGAATTAAAATTCTTCAAAACATTCAAATTCAAACCTTTATGAAATTCAACAAATTAAAAGAATATTTTTATGTTTTTTAATAATTTAAATTTCCATAAACATTTTTTAAAAAAATTGAATTATTTACAAAAATTTTAATAAAATTCTTAGCAAGAATTCAATTATTTTTATAAGTAATAAAATTTTTCACACATGAATTAAATTATTTTAAAAAATGTAATAAAATTCGTTGCAAGAATTCAATTATTTTCATAAATAATAAAATTTTTCAGAGGATTTCAATTATTTTTAATACAATTTTAAATGAATTCCTCTCGAAAAATGTAATTATTTTCAAACTTTTTTTTCAAGAATTCAATTACATTTCATAAATAATGAAATTCATCGCTGAAATTCAAAGATTTTTAAAATCTACTATTTTGATAAAATTTCTCAAATGAATTCAATTATTTTCATAAATAATAAAATTTTTCAAACGTTTTCAATTATTTAAAAAAATATAATAAAAATTCATTGCAAGAATTTAATTAGATTCTCCTAAATAATAAAATTCTTCACAGGATTTCAATTATTTTTAATGCAATTTTAAGTAAATTCTTCGAAAATAGTAATTATTTTCAAAAATTAAAAAAATGGTAGAAAATTGAATTCATGTGAAATTTTTATTATTTATGAAAATAATTGAATTATTGTGAAGAAATTCATAAAAAAAACTGTAAATAATTGAATTCCTGTGAAATTTTTATTATTAATGAAAATAATTGAATTATTGTTTAGAAATTCATAAAAAAAATGTAAATAATTGAATTCCTGTGAAATTTTTATTATTTATGAAAATAATTGAATTATTGTTAAGAAATTCATAAAAAGTTTGTAAATAATTGAATTCCTGTGAAATTTTTATTATTTATGAAAATAATTGAATTATTGTTAAGAAATTCATAAAAAATTTGTAAATAATTGAATTATTGCATAGAAATTAATAAAAAAAATTGTAAATAATTGAATTAATGTAAAATTTTTATTATTAATGAAAATAATTGAATTATTGCGAAGAAATTTATAAAAAATTTGTAAATAATTGAATTCTTTTGGATAATTTTTGAAAATAATTGAAATTTTACCAAGAATTGTATTAAAATTTTTGAAAACAAATTAAACCCAGTAAAAAGAAACTGCAATGTAATAAATAATTAATAACAATTAAATTTTAATTTATTTATTTATATTTTAATTTTTAAATGGAAAATTTTGATTCCTACGAATATTTTCTCTCCAAAAAAAAGATCTCATGAATTAAACAAATTACTAATATAAATATAAATGAAGAGAAAATACGCAAGAGGTGAAATTTACAACTAGAAATTTAAATAGCGAATGTATTAAAAATGTTGTTTATTTTATTACCCAAATAATAATATATTTGTATCTAAAGTATCAATATACAAAACTATTTGAATTAAATTTGGGAAAACATATTTTAATGTTATTATATGTAAATGAAAAATGTAAGTATTTAAAATTAATATCACATTTATAATCAAAAAGGTTAATTAGAAAAAATGTAGAATTGCATCTTGTTCAAATGAGACAAAGTTTAGAAAACGGAAAATGTAAATAATTTTCTAGACAAGATGTTAGACTTATCAGAAAGTGATGTTAAATTAACGTAACAAATTTAGAAATTGAAATTTTTACAACTAAACTAATAGAAAGGGAAACTGACATATTTATATTGGAAATTAAATAATTCTTGTTTGAATCAATTAAAATGTAATGTAAGTAAATTAAATTCATATTAAGCGATAGACTAATTTTTTTTTTAATTTAGATTTCTAATTTTGTATTCTATTATATTATTTAATTAATAAATTGTAGTAACTAAATTTTAAAATATAATTTAATTGTAATTAATTAAGATATTAAGAATTATTATATTAATAATTAAAAACGAAAAAATTGCGACTTAATCTAATAATTCTTGAATAAGGAACGAAAAAATTCCAAATATTGTGTACTCACCACATATTTCAGAGGATAATTGTCATTTTCTTATTTTAACTCGTTTGTTTGCCATTTATTGTCAATTATCGAATTCTTGTCCTTATTCAGTCCTTATTCTTATTCCTTATTCGTCCTTCTTTTTTTGGACGCACGTTTGAAATTTCTACGTCTGGTTCGGTATAAATCCTTCCATTTCCCGCATTTTTTCAGTCGACAAAGTCATTTTCGTTCCCGTTTCACGACTCGACCAGAGGATGTCAGCACAAATCAGTTGAATTACCATCAAGGTTCTGTAATTAAGATATTAATTAATTTCTTGTCACAAATAAACAATTTGTACAATTTTTCTTGTTTTTCCCCAAAAACTAAAAAACACTTAACCCAAGCATAACTTTATTATTTACTTACATTCCCGCTAATTATTTTCAATTATTTCCCTCCTTTTCGTTTAAATTCAAGGAAATATATCAAACAACCAATGAAAATTGTTTTTACGTTTTTTAATTTTTTTTAAATATCCACCGCCATTTTTAAAGTGCTTGTCATTGCCACATCACTTGATAAGTTCCATATATAAATTCCCACATTATCTCAAAAGAATGTAAGAAAGTGTATATTGTATAATTATTTTTTGTCAGAGAGAAAAATATAATGAAACTTTTTGTAAATAGAAAAAAAGTCGTTTATTTTTTTTAAAAATTGGTTTAATTTTTAAAAAGTATCAGTGTTATTGTGAATTTGTAATTTTTGCGAAACAAGAACAAAAATCAACGTCATAGCGATATCAACAGGTCATTTAAATTACTCATAGAGTTATAAATGCACAAACACAAATTGAGATAACTGTGTATGTTTTAATACATAAGAGAGTAGTCACACTCGTTAGTCTTATTTATTCTCCTAGGCGAGACTGTTGTTAAAAATTTCTCTCAATTTAAAAATAAATTTTTTGCAAAAGGTGAGTGAAAATTTTCAAATTATCAGATTTATGGCTGAAAAAAGTGTTTTACAAATATAAACACTTGACACTTGATAGTTACTTTAAGGTACGTGGTTTTTTCTAAAAATAATCCACTTTTTAAATAATTTCATAATCAAACTTTAAAAAATTCACTTATTAATTACAAAATTAATTATTACTCTTCAAATTTTCAAAAATAAATAAAATTTCACGAAAGAATTCAATTATTTTCTAAAATTTTAATAAATCCTTATGAACAATTCAATTATTGTTTTAAATAATAAAATCTTTACAAAAAATCAATTATTTTTAATAAATTCTTCGAAACAATTCAAATATTTCTATAAATAGTCAAATTTTTTTGTGATCGTCTTATTTTTAATTATTAAATATCGAAGAACGGTAATGATTACTTTATTAATATTAAAATATCATTGGTAATTAAAGAAACAAAAAATAAAATTAAAATTTATCTTTGTAAAATAAATCCAAATGATACTTATCGAATAAAGGATTCCTCGTGACAATGTATTTCCAGTGCAAAATTTCTGCGAATAATGCGAGAAAACCCAAAGAATATCCAACAGCCAATACGACTAAAGCACCTTGTAATTTCCGTAAATTTGCCGTAGCTTTCTCGGCTTCATTTTCTTGCCTCATCTCAACAATTTTCGACCATTCCATTGCGTCCTTTAACCATTTTTGTACCAGTCCAACTTCAATAGCTCGTTTTAACTGAAAAAAAAGATAAATTTTAATTTTTGAAAATAAAGGAAAAATACAAAAGGAAAGCTTACACTTTCTATGATTTCAATTCTTCTAGTTTAGAAAACTTTAAAAAAAACTAGTAAATAGATATTAATAGAGTAAAGAAATATTTTTTTTTCAATTAAACCTTGAATAAATAAATCAGATAAAAAGAATTAATTAAAAAATATCATTAATTAAAAAGAGAACCAGTTCATCAACGCAAGGTTTCAAAGGTGAATTCTTATCTAATCCAATTGACACTGGCATATTAACAACACATTCCTCCATGACATGTAAATTTCGTTCGGCGGCAAAATTTCCACTATTTTCCCTTGCAGCATTTCTTTTTAGGTCATATTCAAGAATTTGTCGTTTCACTCGAACTTGTTGCAATACAAATATATTCTCATAATAGCTGAATCTTCCTTTTGCCACACGATCAATAACTTTATTCTCATCAGTAATCTCTTCAAAGCGACTTCCAATTTTTTGCAGATTTTCATCGCCAGACGAGAGAAAATAATCTTTCTTCTCTTCACCCCAACTGCCAACTCCTATTGGACTATTCGATAATTCTTCTATCGTATCTATCGTCACTCTGGAAATTATACAATTATTATTACATAGTATTTAATAATCGTATTTTTCTTCATAAAAATTGGAAAGAAAAATTTGTAAATATGTGTAAAATTTCAAATTCGAAATATTCATCGTTTGAATGCTTTTTTAATCAAGGAAATTGTATTCAAATTTTTTGCAAACATTAAACATTTTTTACATTTAATTTTAACGAACAAAAGAAATTTTATTTATTCAAAAAAAAAAAAATGATTCTACTTTTAATGTTTCTTGCTTTTAAAAAATTTTTATTAACTATTCAAAGAAATATTGAGTATACTTTTAATTTTCCTTTTCTTTTAATTATTTAATAAATAATAAAATTTTCAAAATTAATTGAATTTCAAAAGAGTTGCGTTTACAATCTTCATAAATAGATGAACTTCAAAGGTTTCAATTTGAAATTTTAGAAAATATAAGTTTTTAATGAATTAAAATATAGAAATTTTTAACAACAACTGATTACAGAAATTCAATTATTTTCAAAAATGATGAACTTCTTCGCATAAATTCAATTATGTTAAAAATTTTTTTCAAATTCTCGTCAAAATTTCAATTATTGTTATAAATAATAAAATTCTTCTCTAAAATTCAATTATTTTCAAAAAATTTAATAAAATTCTTGTCAAAATTTCATGTTTTATAATAAATATTCTCATAAGTTATTAAATTTTAGACTCTTAATTCCTATATAAAAATTTTAATAAAATTAAATTTAATATTTATATCTTGTCGAATCAAATTTTCGAAAAATAATTCAAAAAACAAACTTGAGAGGAAGAAGTTGAATTTTCTTTTTGATTGGTTAGAAAAAATTATACATTTAAAATGAAAGAAAAATTGATATAAAACAAAATAGTTGAAATACCTGAGAGTGGGATTCGCAAGGGCGGCAGTTAAACTTGCGCGATAAGAACAAGTAATCAAAATAGTATAAATCCACCACCATCCAATTAAAATTCTTACTGCAAATACTCTCGGCAGCATTGGCAATGAAACTTGCAACAACATACTATAAGTATACAACATACTATTTGTAAGTTCACTGAACAAATAAAGTCCTTCCGTTTCGTCCTTGAATTTCTCTCTTAATTCGTTTCTCTTCTTACTCTTCGAATCAACAGTTCTAATTAATTTCTTTGTCTCCTCAATATCGTTATTTCCAATTTTCCAAAAAATCATTGATCTCTCGTAGAAGATGGAGACGAGAAAAATTACAATTCCTCCAATTATCAGCGTTAGTAACACCAGAATCCATGAATATAAACTTGAAAAAATATTTCATTCATTGTCCCACAATTGTAATTTTATTGTAATTTTCTTGTAATTTTATTGTAATTTTTTTGTAATTTTTTTATAATTTATTTTTATTTATTACTATTTATTGTAATTGTAATCTTTCCACTTACTCGAAGGGCTGAATTAGTAATTTCCATGAGTTTTCAGTGAGCGATTCGGGCGTCAAGAACGTTAGGCATTCGATATTATAAGGCCAGGCTAAATCCACGATATTTAAATGACGTGACGTGTAATGTAAATCGCCGAGATAAAATGCAGCTTTTCTATCGACAGCTTCACCTAATAATCCAGTTGTCTCGTTTTCTCCAATTCTACCCCATTTCTCAACGCTTATATTATTCGGCTCGTAAAATATTGCTCGAAAATTTATCGATTCAGCAATTATTCTCATGAGCTAAAGGATAAAGGAAACTTTTAAGTTTATAAACTAATAAAGTAAAAAACGAAATTTACTTTTACTTATTAAAAAAATTAATAAAGAAATCCTTAAAAAATACATATTAAATATTGACAAGTAGGAATAAAATACAAACCTCAAATTCCAATCCCAAGGCATGTGATGTTTTCTTGAAAGGAGTTTTAAAATATTTTACGGCAATTTCTGTCACTGCTGGTATATGTTGAAAAACAGCTACTCTGTAAAAAAAATTAGTTTCTTATTTCTTTTAATTATTTTAAATTTAAGACTATAAAAAATCAACTTTTTACTAACCTTAAACGTTTGCCTCTTAAATTTTGTGTTTTTTGTGGAAAATGATCAATGTTGTAGCGAAATCGACGACGATACCAAGAGTCAATGTATTTTGTCACAACAAGTCCTTTAACGGTGGCAGGATAATAAATTGTATTTAAATCGTACCATTCACGTGTTACTTGCTCACCGGAACGTCTTTTGAAGACATTATAACGCTTTATAAAAATCACATTTATAATCCGATTCCAAAGATATTGCATATTTGGTGTCAACAATCGATAATCGTTCATCATTATAAACATTGCTCTAGTGTCAATGAGACGATTTCTAAAAAACAAATGTTAATTACAGGCTTCACACTCATTTTTTACGCTATGCTACTATTTAAGTACTTTTTTTAGATTTTAGCAAACTAAAAGCTACTATTTATGTTTTTTTTCTTTAAGAATTTCCACTACTTTAAATTCGCTAATACTAGAAATCAAAAGATTATTCTCAAAAATTATAAACAAATTCTTTAAAAAGATTCAATTATTTTCAAAAAATATTCGAAATTCTATTTTCAATATCTAGTATTTTCATACAATTTCGCAAAACAATTCAATTATTTAAAAACAAAATTGATAAAAATAATCCAAAATTCAATCATTTTCATAAATAATAAAATTTCCACAGGAATGCAATTAATTTAGAATATCATTTTCAAAAAAATTAATTATTTAACAAAATGCTTACACAATTCTTCACAATAATTCAATTACTTTCACTAATAATAAAAATTTTCAAGAAAATTCAATTTTTTAAAAAAATTTTCGATAAAATTCGAAGAAAGAATTCAATTAATTTTATAAATAATAAAACTCATCGAAGAATTTCAATTATTTTTAATACTATTTTAAACTAATTAATAGAAAAATTTAATTATTTTCACAAATAAAGTTTTCCACATGGAATTCAATTATTTAAAATAAAATTTTCATAATATTTATTACATTTCGAAAAAATTAATTATTTAAAAAATGTTCAGAAAATTCTTACGACGAATTCAATTATTTTCGAAAATAACAAAATTTTCACAGAAATTCAATTCTTTTTAAACATTTTAATAAAATTTTTCCCAATAATTCAATTATTTACATAAATAATTCTTCGAAAGAATTCAATTATTAAAGATAAATAACAAAATTATTCCCAAAAATTAAATTATTTTGAGACAGTTTAATAAAATTCTTTGCAAATTTCAATTATTTTTATAAATAATAAAATTCATCGCAGGATTTTAATTCTTTTTAATATAAATTTACAGGAATTGCTCAAAAAATGTAATTAATCTTAAAAATTTAATTTTAATTCCTCGAAGAAATTAATTATTTAAAAAAATTATTTTTTATAATTCTTTGGAAGAATTCAATTATTTACAAAAATATTATAATTTTTCACAGGAATTGAATTATTTTCTAATATTTTAATAAAATTGATAAAAAAAAAATTCAATTATTTTGAATACAATTTTAATTAAATTTTTTGAAATAATTCAATTATTCTTTTAGATTTTAACAAAATTCTTTCCAAAAATTCAATTATTTACATAAATAATTCTTCGAAAGAATTTAATTAATAAAGATAATAACAAAATTATTCCTTAAAATTCAATTATTTTAAGGCATTTTAATAAAATTCTTTGCAAAATTCAATTTTTTTTATAAATAACAATATTTATCACAAGAATTCAATTATTCTTAAAAGTAATAAATTTTTTCTTGAAAATTCAATTATTTAAAAAAATTCTAATAAAATCGTCCGCCAGAATTCAATTATTTTCATAAATAATTAAATGCTTTTTAGGAATTCACTTATTTTCAAAAAAATTTAATAAAATGGCACACAGACATTCAATTATTCTCAAAAATTTTAATAGAATTCGTTGTAAAATTTAATTATTTTTAAAATCTTTTCGCAATTCAATGATTTCCAATATCTGCGATTTTCATAAAATTTCTAAACAGAATTCAAATATGGAAAAAATTTGTTGTAAAAATCTTCCTAAGAATTCAATTCTTTTCATGAATAATAAAAATTTCTCAGGAAAGAAAAAAAGAAGGAAAAAATTTGTAAATACTCACTCCTCGGCAAATTGAAGTAATTTCGAAAGTTGCATTCCATTTGCCATTAAAATAAGATACAAATTACAGGCATTTTTGTGACTGCTCTTCAAAATCGATAGAATTCGATTCCGTGGAGGAAATAATTTTTGACTGTCCCGTATTCTTAACTAAAATTTATTCAATAAATTAAATTATCATTGTAAAATTATATTCAATTCGGAAAAAAACTTAATTCAACTTGGAATGCGTATTTAATCATAACTATAAGAAGGTAAAAAAATATCTCATTTTAATTTCATCAAAAAATTTTGAAATCATTTTAGAATCACTCACCTGATAAATGGGAATTTTTTGCGAAATTTTCAATTCGAAACTTTTAATTGCTTCACGATAGTAAAAATCGCCAATATAAACAATACATTGAATTGGTTTCTTAATTTCTTCAATCATCCTTTCAATTAATTCCTGTAGTTGTTGATTTGCCTTTCTTGAACAAATTTGTTCAAATTTGAAACCACTGTAAATTAAAAAGTCAAATTAATTTTTATTGTTAAACAAGTATATTATTTACTAAATAAAATTAATTAAAATATAATTAATAAACTGAGATAATCAGAATTTGTAATTATTATTCTAGTCTCAATACAAGTTTTTGCACTAATTAGTATTATTAAAATATTAATATTATGAATATTAATTATATTCAAAATACAAACAAAAAATATTATTTTATAACCTCTGATCGCTGATACTTGCATACATAATTAAAAGTAAAACGATTATCATTTTGTAAGCAATATTCTGGGAAAATAGATCGTTACTTTATTCGTGTTTAAAAAAACTACTTTTTCCCTGGTGAAAAAAGTTTCCAATTTAATCGAGTTTAATAATTCAAGAACAATCTGTCCAACAGATTTTTTCAGTGTGTTTGTAAAAAAACTCTTCGATTATCTCGAAAATTGATTTGCATTTTTAAAAAGAAAATTATCTGAATAGAACGAAAGAGAATTGGATTTTAATTATTTATATAATGAAACATTCACATTCATTCGAATTTTTAGTTAACACAGGTTTTTTTTGGTCAAAAATGTTATTAATTATTAAACTAACAATATTGTTTTCTTTACAATTGTTTCTAATTTCTAAATTTCTTTTCAATTGTTTTCTAATTTTTAAATAATAATTTTTTTTTCAGGTCTTCCACAAAACACGTGAAAAAAGCAATGGATCTACTACGAGATTTGCCGAAAGGACCACTTGAAATTTATCGCAAACGAGCCACATTTAATTGGAAATCGTTGAAAGTTAATTTATTAGGAAAAGATTTAGTAACATATCAGGTAAAATATTATTAATTAATTTAATTTTTTTAAATTATCGATATTTTATTTATATTTGGAAAAATATTCCATTTTTTTTTATTTCTGGAAATAATTTTTTTTTTTCAACAGCAAAAATTGTGGAGATTTATGGAAACAAATCCCGAATTTCGAAGGCCTGTGAAAGCTTTAAGTTTGGACGAAGCTCGAAGAAGATGTTACAGACAACTTAATTCTTTAGTTGAAAATGATATTTTGGTAATTGTACTTTTTTCTTTCTTTTCTTTTCTCTATTTATTCTTTTAAAATCATTTTCTCTTTTTATTTCTTAGAAAGAACATTTGTTAAAGAAATTCTTGAAATTGCAATTTTGCCTTGAAAATATATTGTAGATAGAAAATATAATTAAATTAAAAAAAAATGATAAATAAAAAATGATGATTTTTAAAAAATGCTTCTAGCCAATTGATCATCCAGGCTGGTTTAATTATCTTTTTTATTACGATGCTTCATTGCCAATTGTTGCGGGAATAACACAAGGAATGGTCCCTTCAGTAATATTATCACTTGGCTCAGAACGTCATTGGGATATTTTAGAAAATTTGCAACAGGGTAAAGTGAGTAACAAAAAAAGCCTCTTATTAAAACAAAAATTATTTTTCATTAACCTAGTCTCTTCTCTTTTTCGTTTTTAGTTTATGTGTTGCTTTGCTCTAACCGAAATTGCTCACGGCACTAATGTCAGAGGAATGCAAACAATCGCCAAATACGATGTAAAAACGCAAAATTTTATTTTTAACTCCCCGAATTTTGAGTCCTCGAAATGTTGGGCTGGAGCTTTAGGTAAAAAAAGAAGAAGTATTTAATTAATAAAATAATATAAAATTGTGTTCATTCATTTTTTTTTGTATTATTTTTATATAATAATATATATATATATATAATATATATATATATATATATATATATATATATATATATATATATATATATATATATATAATTAATTATATTTCATATAATAATACAAAAAAAAAATTAACAATTTAAAAGAATTATTTTTCAATTTAAAAATTTTAATTTTTCCAATTTGTTTTTTTTTGTAGGCAAAGCGTCAACTCACGCGATAGTTTATGCACAATTAATAACGCCCGATAACGAAAATCATGGACTTCATCCGTTCATTATTCAAATTCGTGATCCAAAGACGTATTCACCGATGCCAGGTGTCATTGTTGGCGATATGGGGGAAAAATTGGCATTAAATGGCGTTGACAATGGATTTATATTATTTAAAAATTACTCAGTGCCACGAGTTTCTCTACTCAATAAAAATGCCGATGTTAACGAAAATGGTCAATATGTGGCGCGAATTAAAGATCAAAGCAAACTATTCGGTGAGAAATCAAAATATGTACAGGCTTTTTTTACACTTTCTGAAAATTCTTTCCAAAGTATTTTTTTTTTTTTTATATTTCCACTCATAATTTAAAACAAAAATAGTAGAACTTACTCGGAAAATAGTAAAAATTGACAGAAATACCAAAGAGTTTAAATTTTATTTTGTCAATACAAAAAGTTACTTTAAATATTTTTTCCATTTGTATAAATTTTGAAAATTAAATTAATTGCTTTGAATAAATTTATGAAAATTTAATTTTTTTATTTTATTCTTTCAGGAGCGTCATTGGGAGCTCTGTCAACCGGAAGAGTGACAATTACGATGATTTGTTCAATGTACTTGACACTTGCAACTGTGATTGCAATTCGCTATGTTGCCGTTAGAAAACAATTTGGTCCCAATTCAAAAGAAGAGTGGCCCGTGATTGAATATCAAGTTCAGGTAGCATTAAAAATTAGTAATTAGTTAATTAGTAATTAAATTGGAAAAATCAAAATTTCCAATTCAACAAATTTGCGTTCTCGTTCTTAAATTAAAGGAACTAAAATTTGTTCAATTTTTTTGAAAATACTAATTAAAAATTAAAAACTTCTTTCCAGCAAGGACGACTATTTCCTCATTTGGCCGCAACCTACGCTTTGTCGACTTTTGCTCATGTATTTTCAAAAATTTCAAGAGATTTTCACATAGAGATGCTTACCTCAGATGATAAAAATATGATAAGCGAGAAGGGAATGGAAATTCACGCTTTATCATCAGCAACGAAACCGCTTTGTGCTTGGACTGCTCGAGATGCAATTCAAGATTGTCGGGAAGCTTGCGCTGGTCATGGTTATCTGAAAGGTGAATTAATTTTATTAAAAACAAGAAATCTTTCAAATCTGAATAAGTAATGTAATTATATTAAATTTACAATCCTTCCTCTATGAGGAGGCAAAAAGAAATTTTTTAAAATAAATAGTAACAATCTAAATTTACTAAATTAAATTAACTAAATTTTAATTTATTCAAATAGTGTCTCGATTGGGTGACATTCGGTCAGAGAACGATGCGAATTGCACCTACGAGGGCGAAAATAACGTTTTAATTCAACAAACAAGTAATTGGTTACTGAGTCAATGGGGAAATGTTCTACAAGGGAAACGTGTTCAATCGCCACTTGGTTCCGCCGATTTTCTCGATGGAGCTCAAGAAATTCTTTCGATGAAATTTCAATGCACCTCAATCGACCAGACTATGCAGCTTGACAGTAAATTCTCTCTTTTTATCTTTATCAGGCTTTGTACTCGATAATTAATTTTAAAAAAGTAGCAAAAATTAGCTTCAAGAGTAAAAGAGAAAAAGAGTAAAAGAGTAGCTTAAGTAGTAAAAATGTATCAATCGAAAAATTATTCTTGACGACTCAATTTTTTATATTATTTCTTAATTACATTCAAAAATAGAATAATTTTTTAAAATAAATATTTAAATACCGATTTATTTTGTCTACAGGAATTAAAATATTTGACAAATTTAAATAGTAAAAAGAAGTAGTAAATAGTAGGTTTTAGTAGATGAGTGCGAGGCCTGCTTTATATTTCAAAGAAAAAAAGCTCTATTCATGATGAAAACACTTTTTTTCGAAAAAAAATTCGAAGAAGCAAAAACTAAACAAAAAGTCGATTTTTTACAGATCTTCTCCTTGCTTTCAAATGGTTGACCTGTTACTATCTGAAGAAGACTTACGAAAAAGTACAAATACTCAAAAACAACGGTAATGGAAATTTTGAAGCGAGAAACGATTCCCAGACTTATTTCGCACGAACCTTGAGTCTAATTTACGCAGAGGTATATTTTTAATTTTAGATTCTTTTAAATTAAACCCAATTTTATTATTAAACGAAAATATTCAACATTTTTCGCAGCATGCAATTGTCCAGAATTTCTGTCATCAAATTAAAAATGGAGAATTTAAAAGTGATGAGAAATTGGTTTTGACAAAATTGTGTTCACTTTACGCCGCTTGGTCACTCGAGAGAAGATTGAGTGATTTATTTGCCGGTGGATATGCAACGTCTGAATCGAAAATTGATATTTTACTTCGCGAGGGAATAATAGCTGTTAGCAAGGATCTAGTCAAGGATGCTGTGTCTTTGGTTGACACTTTAGCTCCACCGGATTTTATTTTAAATTCCCCACTCGGAATGTCAGATGGCGAGGTAAATAATTCATTATTATTTATTTAATTATTTAATTTTTAACGAGCTTGAATAATTTGCGAAAAAAGTTTAAATCATTTCATTAGTATTTGCTATAAATTCTTACCGATATTTTCATTTATCTGCTTCCAATAATTAGTGTCGATTCGTTTTTGTTTAGATTTACAAACATTTGGAGAAAGCCTTCATGGAAAATCCGGAAAATCTCGAACGTCCCTCATGGTGGCGGGAAATAAGTCGATCAAAATTATAAAAATACCAGCTAATATTTTTATAAACCTGTGAACAAAATAATGAAATTGTAAAATATATTTTTTCCACATTTTTTTATATATATTTTTAACGAAATGTACTTATAGAAATTTTTTTGTAAATAAAAATGTATTTTTTGAGAAATTTACATATTTTACTTTTTAAATTTATTATTATTATCATTTCTTCTTATTATTATTTTTAAAAGAACAAATTATTTATTATCATTCTTTTTTCATTACTTTATTTTATAAATTATTTTTCTGAATTATTTTTAGAGTTTATTTAAATAAAACATATTTTAATTCGATTAGAGAGCAAAAATGTTGACCTCGTTGAATTAACGAATTTCATTACCAAAGCAAATTTTTCTATTGGGCAGAGTGATTACGAAAACTAATTCTCATTTAAAGATCGAAGACGTTAAGTTAAAGAAAAAATAAAAGGAAGTTTTTCAAATATTTTACAATAACGTTAATTATTATTAAGAATAAAAATAATAAAAATGGAAGTTTTGCCCGATTTACCAATTGGGCCTTTGGACGATTATCGAAAACATGCAAGTTTCAATTGGAAATCATTAAAAGTTCATCTCGAAGGAGAAGAAAATGTGAGACTTCAGGTAAGAAGTGTAATTAAATTTTAAAAAATTGATTCGGATTAATTAATTAACTAACTAAATAAATAATTAATTAATTAATCAATTAATCCATATGAGCTAATTTCATTTAAAATTTCCGAATTTCGGCAATTGAATTAAAATTTAGGCAAAATTATGGAACGTGATTAATTCTCATCGTGAATTTCGAAAATCAAAAAAGGGCCTTTCATTGGACGAAACTCGACGAAAATGCGTCAACCAACTGAATATTTTAATTAAAAATCTGGTAAAGTATCTAAAATAAATATTTTTAAAAAATTAGTAAAGAACAAGTTGAACAAATTGTACAAATTTAAAATAGAAAAGTGAATTTAGGCAAAAAGATAGATTTGTATTTTTCAACAGCCAAGTGATGTTCTTTACTGGCCGGTTCAATGTTTTCAATACGACGCATCAATAGCAACTTTATTCAGTCTCAGAGAAATAGTTGTCCCTTCGGCTTTAATGAGTTTGGGAACAGTACGTCATGCGGAAATATTTGAAAAACTCAAGACAAGAGAGGTAAAAACTTCGTTTTCCAAAAAGCAAAGAAATATGTACCAAAGAGATATTTAATTTTTAAAAATTATGTCAGCGAAAGAAAAATAAATTTTAATAACAATAAAAAAAATAATCGTAATAAAATTTCAGTACATAGGCGCTTTTTCTTTAACGGAAATTGCTCACGGTACAAATATCAAAGGAATGGAAACTACTGCCACTTACGATCCAAAAACGGAAAATTTTATTCTTCACACACCGAATTTTAAGGCAGCAAAATGCTGGGCTGGAATGATGGGTAAATAAAAAAAAAGAAAAAATGTCTAATTTTTTTTTAACTAAAAGTTTGGTTTCTTTTAAAGGAATGACAGCAACTCATGCAATTATTTACGCTCAATTGATTACACCTGACAATATTAATCACGGTCTACATCCATTTATCGTTCCGATTCGAAATCCAAAAACACTTTTGCCCTATAAGAGACTGATTGTTGGGGATTTGGGAGAAAAAATTGGTCTCAATGGAGTTGACAATGGATTTATCATTTTCAATCAATACCACATTCCAAGAATGAATTTATTGAATCGACACGCAGACGTAACAACCGATGGCAAATATATTGCACGTATAAAAAATGAAAGCAAACGTCTAGGTGAGAATTTCTTTTCTCTAAAATTAATTTTTTTCTTTATTATTTCTCTTTTATATTTATTTATACTTTTTTATTCATTCAAGGTTGCCACAAGTCAGGGAATTCAGGGAAAAGTCAGGAAAATTAGATCGATTTCTTTATGTTTTATAATAATATTCTCATAATTGATTGTATTTCAGAAGGTTTGAATTTGAAAATCTTAATTCCTATGGAAAAATAATAATGATTAAATATTTATTTAAAAAAGAAGTTATTGATGTTTTTGAATAATTTTCCAAATAAAGAAATTCGTAAATAAATGTAATAGAAAATTTTTTTGAGTATCTAATAATTTTTGGAGTGAATCAAAATATTCTTCAGGTTCAGGGAAAAAGTCAAAATTTTGTCTAGAAATCAGGGAAAAACAAAATTAATTTTTTGTGACAACCCTGTCATTATTCTATTACTAAATACTAAAATTCTAGTACTAAATTGCAATTGAAAGTTTTGAAGAAATTCATTATTTTAGGAGCATCTTTAGGATCGTTGTCAAGCGGAAGAATTGGAATTTCATTAATTTCCGCAATGTATCTAACAGTTTCTGTAATTATAGCAATTCGATATTGTTCAGTACGAAAGCAATTTGGATCTTCTTCAATAAATGAATGGCCAGTGATTGAATATCAAGTTCAGGTGAATTTTCTTTTTCAAATAGGAAATAAAAATCTCTCCGGAAAAAAATTGTATCTTTGAGAGATTATAAAATTCTTTTTTTCTCAAAATTGATTTAAATTGAAAGGAATTTTTTTTTCGTATTCTTTTTTAAAGCAAGGACGTCTCTTACCTCATTTAGCCTCTGTTTACGCTTTCACGATATTCTCCTCTTGGTTATTGAAAATAAGCGAAGATTTTACATCGCAAATAATTGGAGATTGCGATCGTGATGCACTGAATTCTTTGGGAATGGAAATTCATGCTCTATCATCAGCTGCGAAGCCTCTTTGCACCTGGACATCACGTGATGGAATTCAAGATTGTCGAGAAGCATGCGGTGGACATGGATATCTGAAAGGTTCAATAATTCCAAAATTCATTAATTAAAAAAAATATAAAAAAAACTATAAAAAAAACTTTAAAAAACAAATTGATAAAATAACTAATCTTCACTAAAATCTTAATTTTGAATCTTTTTCTCTTCTAACAAAATAATTATTTAACTTTTAATTAATAACTAAATTGATATTAAATTTGTATGAGTATGAATTTAATATTAAATTTTTTGTCGTTGTTGTTTTTTTAGACAATTAATAAAAATTAGTTTCTCGTTTGGAAAAAGTTCATTATTTGGAAAAGTTTTTCAGCTTCAAGATTAGGCGAAATGAAGGCAGAAATCGACGCTACTTGCACTTATGAAGGGGAAAATAACGTTTTGATTCAACAGACAAGCAATTGGTTGTTGAATCAATGGGAAAATGTTTTGAAGGGCAATGAAATTGTTTCGCCATTAAATACAGTGAAATTTCTAGAAAAAGCAGATCAAATTCTATCCTTAAAATTCAATTGCAATAATGTTGAGGAGACAATGAAAATTGAAAGTAAGTAATTAATTTCCCTATTTAATAAAATCATTCCGCCACTTCATAATAAATTCATAAGTAAACCAAGTGAAAATTTTTATAAAATCAATTTTCTTAATTTTAATATTTAGATTTGCTGATAATTTACAAATGGCTAATTTGTAATTACTTGAAAAAAACTTACGAACGAGTTGAGAATCTCCAACGAGAGGGTGGTTGTAATTTTACAACGAGAAATGATTCTCAAATGTTTTTCGCAAAATTTCTATCCATAATTTACGCAGAGGTAAAGAATTAAAGGATTAAATTTTTAAATCATTTTCATTGAAATATTTTTCAATTAATATGAAAATAATGGTATTTACTAAATAAATTACTGCAGCACGTCGTAATTCAAAGATTCGTTGAAAAAATAAATGATCCAATTTTTAATGAATCGGAAAAAGTAATTTTATCAAAATTGTGCTCATTATACGCCGCTTGGTCATTGGAGAAAAAATTGGGCGACATTTATGCAGGAGGATTCGCAAATCCCGATTCTCAGTTGGAAATATTTCTTCGTGAGGGTATAATAATGATGAATAAGACATTGGTTCAAGAAGCTGTGTCCTTGGTTGATGTTCTTGCGCCTCCTGATTTTATTCTCAATTCACCGCTTGGAATGTCTGACGGCGAGGTATTTTTTTAACTACAAAAAAGAAGATCCTATTATTTAATTTATATTCTTTTGTTTATTTACATTTTTGTTTAATTTTAATTTTAATTTTTAAGAAATTTTAATTGTTTATTTTTGCAGATTTACAAACATCTGGAAGAACTTTTATTGCAGAATCCCTCAAATTTGAAACGAGTCGCTTGGTGGAAGGAAATTAAAAAATCAAAACTATAAAAAAAATTGATTATAATTATATATTCGATTTAAGAATTTTATTTTTTGTTTGACAATAAAGATTAGAAAAGCAAAGTATTGAAAAATGTAATTATTATTTTCGTAATTGGTGAATATTTTCATTCAGGAAGGTTGTTTTTATTATTATTAGAAAGAATAATAATATGAAACGTTCATTAATTTGAAATTAATTTTACTCTCATTCTATAGGACTCTCTCCCACTTAACTAAAATTATTATCGCGTCACCAACTCGTTTCAGAGTGAGAGAGGAAAGTTACAATCGTTCTATATTTATCTTTCTCTGCGACAGAAAGATAAATACAATGTAAAATATTTTAGCAAGTCATTAAAAAATTTATCTTTTTGCCAAAGATTAATTTCTAATAAGCAATATTTTGAGATTTCGTTCTGTTGGGCAAAGAACTTGGATTTTTAGAGAGAAATTATATTTTAAGAGGTTAGTTTCATTATTTACTATTTAGTGATTTATTTATATTTATAAATATTTTAATTTTAATACTCTAAAATAAATAAATTTAGAAAAGTAAAATTGGAATTCTTAATATTTAAATAATTAGGTGCTTTATGTTCATTAATTTATAAAATAAATTTATAAAAAAACTTCTTTAAGAAGGTTTGAATTTCAGGTATAAAAGAATTTTAAATGGAAACGATACGAGATTTACCGAAAAATGGACCATTAGAGGAATATAGAAAGAGAGCGAGTTTTAATTGGAAGTCGTTTAAGATTCACTTAGAAGGTGAAAAGTTCGTGAGATCACAAGTAATTTTCATACTTTTCCAAATTAAAAATAAAAAAATACAATAACTATTTTTAGAGAAATTTCAAAGAAATTCTTCAGGGTTGCCACAAAAATGTATTTTTGTCTTTTCCTGACTTTTCCCTGATTTTCAGACAACATTTTGACTTTTCCATTTTGAAATTCAACAACTTATTTTCAAAATTCAATTATTTCTAAAAATTCACGCTATAATGCTTTTAATATTCAATTATTATTAAAAATTTTAAGTGAAATTAATTTTTTAATCAATTTTAATTATAAAATGTTTCGATACTTCAATTACCTATTTAAATACAAAAATAAATAATTATTATCAATCAAAAATAAATAATTTTATAATAATTGAATATTTCTTAAAATTAAATTTTTAAGAAGATTTTTATCAAAATTTTTAAAAATAATTGAATTCTTTCGGCAAATTTAAAAAAAAAATTGAAAAATAAATGCAATTTTCTATCATTTTATTTAAAATTAAATAAAAATTAATTTAAATTCTGCGATAAGTTTTGTTATTTATGAAAAATAATTGAATTCTTGCAATGAATTTTATTAAAAATATATTTAATGAATTGAATTCCTGTGAAGAATTTTATTTGTGAAAATAATTGAATTCCGGAGAAAAATATTATTATTTATGAAAATAGTTATAATTTCTTGTGAAGAATTTTATTCAAATTTTTTTAATTAATTGAATTTCTCAGAATTTTTTTAAAGCTTTTTGAAAATAATTCAATTCCATCGTGAATTCTTTCGAAGATTTTTACAAACATTTTTGACAATAATTGTATTTCTACGAAGAATTTTATATTTTACGAAAATAATTCTATTCTATGATCAATTTTATTATAATTTTTCAAAATTATAAAGCATTTTATCAAAATTTTTGAAAATAATTGAATTTTCAAGAAAAATTTTATTATTTTTGAAAATAATTTATTTCTTGCGAAGAATATTATTCAAATTTTATTAAATAATTGAATTCCCATAAAAAATGTATTATTTGTGAAAATAATTGAATTCTTAAGAAGAATTATATTGAAAATAATTGAATTGTAAAGGAAAATTTTATTAAAATTTGCAATTTTATTAACTAAATTTTGTAAAGAATTTTGTCAAAATTTTTTTAAATAATAGAATTTTTAAAAATAATTGAATTTCTGTAATAAGTTGTTCTTAAAATTTCTATTTAAATTCATTAAAAATTGATATTTAATCAACCGTGTTCATGTTTTTAAACTGATCATTAGAAAGTGTTTAAAATTAATTTAATTAATTAAATAGGAAGAATTATGGAAGTTTCTTGAAAAAAATCCAGAATTCCAACATCCCAGAAGATCGTTAAATTTGGACGAAACACGTAGAAGATGTTATCGACAAGTCAACGAAATCTCTAAAATCGATGTGAGAATCATTGAAATTTTTAATTTCAATATTAATATTTTATCTCATAAAGGAAAAAAAAATTTGTTATAGTATTAAAGTTAAAGCAGAAGCTTTTTTGTTATATTTCTTTTGTAATTATAATTATCTAATTACGATATATAAATAAATATAAGGAGAAAAATCTTGTACTAGGATGGCAAATCAAGCAAATGGCATTTTTTGCTAAGTCTTTACGATACTTCATTGCCACTGTTAAAAGGTCTCAGTCGTGGAACAGTTTCAAATGCAATTATCGATTTAGGAACCGAAAATCATCAAAAATTGGTTGAAAAATTTAAAAGTGGCGCAGTAAGTTTTTTTGCAACTTTGTTTCCTTGCTTTTCTTGTAAATAATGAAAATAATCATACCTTTAATTATACGGAGTGCAAAATTCAATATTTCAGTTTCGAGGCTGTTTATGTTTCACGGAAATCTCTCATGGGACGAATCTTAAAGGTTTGCAAACCACAGCAACGTATGATGTTGAAACGGAAAATTTTATTATCAACACGCCAAATTTTCAAGCCGCCAAATGTTGGTCCGGAGTATTGGGTAAATCTGTAAAGAATTATTAAAATTTCATTACAGTTAATTAATTAGTAATCTGAATTAATATTTCAGACAAAGAGTTTATTAATTACTTTCCTCAAAATTGTTTAAATTAGCTAATGAAAATAATTATTTTAATAAAAGAAAAACTAAATAATAAATGCAGATAAAAATAAAATAATAAATAAAAATAAAAAATTAATTCAAAAACTATTTTTTCCTTGAATATTAATTTTTTCCACAGGAAAAACAGCGACGCATGCACTTCTTTACGCGCAATTAATAACTCCCGATGGAAGAAATCACGGTCTCCATCCATTTATTATTCCGATTCGAAATCCAGAAACAATTTTACCTCTGCCGGGAATAATTATCGGTGATATGGGCGAAAAAATTGGTCTCAATGGTTTGGACAATGGTTTCATGTCATTTAAAAATTATTCTGTACCTCGTGAGTGTTTACTCAATAAAATTACCGATGTAACGAGGGACGGAAAATATGTTACAGTCCTAAAAGATTCTAGTCAACGTTTCGGTGAGAGAATTTTTCAAACTCTTTACAAACACTTTTAAAAAAAAAATCTTTTAAAAATTAAAAAAATTATTTCATTATTTATTAAGTAATTTGTCAAATAATGAAGAAATGTTTCGATTTTTGTCAGGAGCAAGCATAAGTCCTCTTTCTACTGGCAGAATGAGAATTATTTTCATTAACACAATGTACATGAGACTTGCTTTGATAATTGCAATTCGATATTGTGCCTCAAGAAGGCAATTTGGACCAAAAGAAAAAGAGGAAATACCAGTGATTGAGTATCAAGTTCAGGTGAGATCGAAATTGAAATTAATTTCAAAGATAAAAAGGTTGACGATAAATAAGAAAAAGAAAATAAGGACAAAACGATAAATAAGAAAAAGAAAATAAGGACAAAATAATAAATAAAAAGTAAATAAAGATAAAACATTAAATAAAAAGTAAATAAAGGGAAAACAATAAATAAAAAGTAAATAAAAACCAAACAGTAAATAAAAAGTGAATAAATACAAAAATTATATATAATAAAGAAAGTAAATAAAAATTAATCAAAAAAATAAATGAATAATTATATTTCTAATTACTTACAGCAAGGGAGACTTTTCCCTCATTTAGCCGCTTTGTATGCACTGACAGTCTTCAGTTATGAAGTTCTCGAAATTGTTGATTCGAAAAAATCCAAAGATTTAAAAACTATTATCGCAGAAGGAACGGAATTGCACGCACTTTCGTCAGCGGGGAAACCTCTTTCTGGGTGGTTAGCTCGCGACGCTATTCAGGATTGCAGGGAAGCTTGTGGTGGTCACGGATACCTAAAAGGTTTGACAAAATCATTATTAGATATATAAAATATTTTTATAATTAATATAAAATAATTTTGTAACTAATATAAAATATTTTTATAATTAATACGAAATAAAACAAAAATAATTTTATAATTATAAACAGAGAAAAAAATTTTGATCTAATTTCCCAAACAGCATCGCGATTAGGAGAAATGAGAGCAGCAAACGACGCCAGTTGTACTTACGAGGGAGAAAACACAGTTTTAATTCAGCAGGCGAGTAATTGGCTTTTGAATCAATGGGACAGTTTTAAACGTGGAAAAGGAATTTCCACTCCACTTGGAACAGCGGGATTTATAAAAACTTCTGTTTACATTCTTTCGCAAAAATTCCACGCCACTAGCATCGAGGAAACACTAAAGCTCGACAGTAATTCAAATAGAACATCTAAAACAAAAAAAATTAAAATTTCCAATTTAAATTAACAAAATCAACAAAACAAAAATTAATACTAAAAATAATTTCCAGATCTTCTCATCATGCACAAATGGCTGATATGCTACTATCTCAACAAAACTTACGAGCAAACGCAATTTTTAAGGAAACAAGGAATGAATTCTTTTGAAATCCGTAACAATTCACAAATGTTCCTTGCTCGTACCTTGTCATTGGTTTATGCCGAGGTAAGAGATTTTTCAAAGAAAATAATTGACAAAACAAATTAATTAAACAAATTAACAATTGATAAAATATATTCTTACATTTTTTCAGCATGCGGTGGTGAAAATTTTCATGGATCGAATCAATGATCCTGTTTTCCCCGAATCGGAACGTTGTGTTTTGAGAAAATTGTGCGCCATATTCTCCGCATGGTGCCTCGAAAAAAGAATGTCCGACTTTTATGCCGGTGGATTTGCAAATGCAAATTCGAAACTCGACGTTTTACTTCGTGAGGGAATTGTTTCACTCAACAAGGATTTACTGAGTGAAGTTGTGGCTTTAATTGACGTTCTTGCGCCTCCAGATTTCGTTGTCAATTCTCCCCTTGGAATGTCGGATGGCGAGGTAAATTTCTGCAAAAAATGGTTAAAAATGTTTAAAAAAAAAATTGTAAATCAGTTTGCGAATTATTTAGTTTAATTATTTATTTACAAATTTCCCCGCTGTTATTTTCTCTAAATATTTCGACTTTTTTCAACAGATTTACAAACATTTGGAAGAGACCTTTTTCAAGGATCCGAAAAACTTCGAACGTCCATCTTGGTGGATGGAATTAAAATCAAACTTATAATTCGATATGAAAGAAACATTTGGTAAAAGAAAATAAAAATTAAATTTACCGGAGTTAAGGAGAAATATTTTTGTAATTTTCATATTTTTGTAAAGTAAATTTTAAAATTTTTAATCTAATAAATTCTTGTGTTGTTCTACAAATTTTTGAATTTTATTCAAAATCAGTTCGAATAGAGAACTATCACAAATTTCGTAAATTTGTTAATAAAATTTACTTATTTTTTCAAATAGTTTGAAAATAATTTTTACAAATTATTATTTAACTCCTCTTAATTGCTTTACTTCTGATTTTTTAAATTTTATCAAATTTATTTACATCTCTAAGTAAAGAAACGTAAATTTGCTCGCTTGCGTAATTTAATTTCAAAAGATTAAGTAAACGAATAAATAAAATATATATTAAAATTTTAGAAAATACTTAAATTCTAAATAAAAATAAATATAATCTAAATTCTAATAAAAATTTTATAACGAATTAAGAAAAAAATTGAATTCTTTCGTAGAATGTTTTTGAAAATAATTGAATTTTTGCAAAGAATTTTACTATTTATAAATATAATTGAATTGTTTAGAAGGATTTATTAAAATTTTAGAAAATAATTGAATTTTCTCGAAAAATATTTGAAAAATAAAAAAAAATTGAATTCTTTCATGAAATTTTATAAAATTGTATTAAAAATAATTGAATTTTTGTTAAGATATTTACTATTTATTAATATAATTGAATTTCTTCGAAGAATTTATTAAAATTTTAGAAAATAATTGAATTTTTGCAAAGATTTTATCACGAATTAAGAAAAAAATTGAATTTTTTTTAAAATAATTGAATTTTTGCAAAGAACTTTACTTTTTATAAATATAAATTGAATTTTTTCGAAGGATTTATTAAAATTTTATGAAATAATTGAATTTTTCCAAAAAATATTTTAAAAATTAAAAAAAACTGAATTCTTTCATGAAATTTTATAAAATTGTATTAAAAATAATGGAATTTTTGCTAAGAATTTTACTATTTATAAATATAATTGAATTTTTTCGAAGGACTTATTAAAATTTTACGAAATAATTGAATTTTTCCAAATAATATTTTATTAATTTAAAATAAATAATAAATAAATAATTGAATTTTTGAAAAGATTTTATAACGAATTAAGAAAAAAATTGAATATAATTTTGAATATAATTGAATTTTAGCAAAGAATTTTACTTTTTGTAATTATAACAAATTGAATTGTTTTGAAGAATATATTAAAATTTCAGAAAAGAATCGAATTTTTTCGTAAAATATTATTAAAATATTTTTTTAAATTCATTTTATTCATGAAATGATATTAAAATTGTCATTAAAAATAATTTAATTTTTGCAAATATGTTACTATTTAAAAAAATAATTAAATAGTTTCAAAAAAATTTGCTAATTAAATAAATAAAGTATAATAATTATTGAAATATACAAAAACTAAATGCAGATTAATTAGCTAAATATTATTCTATATAAAAGCGCAATCATAATAAAATTACATGCTGCTGAGGTTGGAGAACTTGTTTACTAAATTTATATCCCTCCCACTCTTCGCCCACTTTCTCCATGCATCAGACATTGAACAGCTTATCTTTTGCAAAGCTCAAAATTATCTCGCATTTATAAATGTATCATTTTTTTAAATGTTAAAAATATCTCGGAAAATTTACACTTGTCATTCTAGAATATAGTCTACTTTTTTGTTATGTGATTTAAAATTCAAAAATTGAAGCTTTTAAACATTCCAAATATAAGTACTGATTTAAAAAATAAATAATAAATATATGTGTTTTTTAATATTTTAAAATAAATCTGTTACTTCTTTTGAAACAAAACAATAGAATTTTATCAAAACAGGTAAAAATAAAGTTTTAATGGTCTGAATTATTTAAAAAGTAAAGTTCGCGAATAAAATTTGTTCTATTTTTAGAATGATTAACCTCTCGAACTAAAGTAGTTTGTTTTTAAAACAATAATAATGGTTTTTATAGTATTCTCCTTTTTCAAAATATAACAAAAAATATAACAAATTTCAAAAATTATAACAAAGTTTATAAAAATTTTCCAGTTATTTATTTTTATTAACTTATTATATTTAATTTTTTTACTTATTTTTATTATTTATTTATATTATTTACTTTTATTATTTACTTTATTAATCTTTGACTCTTTGATATCTTTTTTTAATATCTTTTATAATCTATTTTTAATGCTTTCTGCTTTAATAATTTTTTTTCTAATTAAAAATGATTCGTTTCTAATTTAATTATTTGTAATTTAGCCTTAACAACAAAAAACTTTAGTGAGAAATTTTGTTGTCATATCGGAACAATAGCTTTTAAAAATTTAAATTTAAAGGAAAATGGAATTGATTCATAACTTACCGAATGGACCACTGGATGAATATCGAAAACGAGCGAGTTTCAATTGGAAATCCTTAAAATTGCATTTAGAAGGCGAAGATTTCGTTCAATCGCAAGTAAAGTCCTTTTACAATTTTTTAAAGTCACTTAATTTTCAACATCCACTGTTCTCTTCAAGCCAACAAAATAATTCACCATTTTCAGGAAAATTTATGGAACTTTATAAAAAATCGTCAAGAATTTCAGTATCCAAAAGAATCATTAAATCTCGACGATACCAGAAAAAGAGCATATCGTCAAGTGATGGCCCTCTCGAAAATCAAGGTATGAGTTCTTGTCCTTTTTTCCACATAGTTAAACTCTTCAGAGAAAATAAATTACGAATTTTTCTCTTTTTTTCTTCAGGACGATAAATTTGGAACTTGGGCCCAATGGCTCAGATTTTATGACGCTTCCATAGGACCAATTAGAAGATTATCACAGGAAGTTGTGCCAGAAGCAATTCGAGACCTAGGAACAGAACGTCATCGGAAATTAATTTCAAAATTCATAGATGGCACCGTAAGAAAACATTTTTCTCATTTAAAAAGAATTAATTCTTCCAAAAAAATTTAATTTTAAAAAGAAATAAAATAATAATTCTCCTGTATTTTTTTCCATAAAATTAAGTTTCTAGGTTGTTTATGTTTCACGGAAATAGCGCACGGTTCGAATCTTAAGGGATTAAAAACTTCAGCAACTTATAATGTGGCGACGGAAAGTTTTATTTTACACACTCCAAATTTTGAGGATGCAAAATGTTGGTCCGGACTTTTGGGTAGTGATTTTTTCCCTTTAAAGATTTTGTAATTTATTTCACAAAAAACTAAAAAATTGTTGTTATAGTTTTTATTAAATTGAAATTGAAATTATTTTTTCTAAAATTTAATCTATATTAAATTAATATTTTAAGTAGAAAATTAATTTTGAAATATTTTTTCCATACCGTTTGAATTTTGATTTTTTCCAGGAAAAACAGCGACGCATGCACTTCTCTACGCTCAATTAATTACTCCTGATGGAATAAAACACGGTCTTCATCCATTTATTGTTCCGATTCGAGATGCAGAAACACGTTTACCGCTGGCGGGATTAATTATCGGCGATATGGGCGAAAAAATTGGTCTCAATGGTTTGGACAATGGTTTCATGTTGTTTAAAAATTATTCCCTTCCTCGTGAATATCTTCTCAATAAAATTGCCGACGTATCAAAAGATGGAATCTATAGTACAAGTGTAAAAAAACAGGATAAAAGATTTGGTAAAATTTTTTATGAATTATTTCTTACTTCTTTAATATTATTATTTTACTGCTATTTTAACTAAATTTTGATATTTGAAAATTTTTGTTTCAAATTAATAAGATTTGATTTTAAATTTTTTACAAACTTTCTTTTATCATTTTTAGCGAAATTTTTGTCACCTCTTTCAACTGGACGAGTGGGAATTACTCTTCACGCGACAATGTTCTCAAGACTTGCTTTAACAATTGCCACTCGATATTGTGCTGTCAGGAGACAATTTGGTCCGAACGAAAAAGAAGAAGTGCCTGTAATTGAGTATCAAGTTCAGGTATTAATAAAAATAGTTTATTTCAAATATTTCAGTTATACTTTAATTTAATTGGAAATAGTTTTAATTAATATTAAGATATGGTTTTTTTTTTTGAAAAATTGATAATTTAAAAAAGAAAGTCAGGAGTAATGTGTATTTAGTAAATAAATATTTCAATAATAAAAATAAGTTGGTTTTAACGAATTACTTACAGCAAGGTCGTCTATTTCCTCATATTGCCACTCTTTATGCCTGGACAATTTTTGGCTATTATATTTTGAGAATGTCCGATGTGCAAACAAAGAAATCGTCACCGGCTGAAAATGCAGAAATGCACGCATTGATTTCAGCGACAAAACCTCTTTCCACTTGGAGTGCTCAAGCAGCGATTCAAGATTGCAGAGAGGCCTGTGGAGGACACGGTTATTTAAAAGGTTATTATTACTTTTCAATTATTAATTAACGAAACATCAAATTATTAATATTATTTGTATTATTATTATTATTATTATTATCATTAAAAAAAGAAAATACTTTTTGAAGTATTTGAATAAATAGTGAAAGAAGTTTTAACATATTTATATTTGAAATAAAAAATTTAAATTAGCATCTCGACTGGGAGAAATGAGAGACTCAAACGATCCTTCGGCTACTTACGAGGGAGAAAACACAGTTTTAATCCAGCAGGCGAGTAATTGGCTTTTGAATCAATGGGACAATTTTAAACGTGGAAAAGGAATTTCCACTCCACTTGGAACAGCGGGATTTATAAAAACTTCTGTTTACATTCTTTCACAAAAATTCCACGCCACTAGCATCGAGGAAACACTAAAACTCGACAGTAATTCAAATAGAACATCTAAAACAAAAAAAATTAAAATTTCCAATTTAAATTAACAAAATCATTTATACTTTAATAATTTATAATTATTTATACAAAAATTAATACTAAAAATAATTTCTAGATCTTCTCATCATGCACAAATGGCTGGTATGTTACCATCTCAAAAAAACTTACGAGCAAATGCAATTTTTAAGAAAACAAGGAATGAATTCTTTTGAAATTCGCAACAATTCACAAATGTTCTTTGCTCGCACTTTGTCTTTGGTTTATGCCGAGGTAAGAGATTTTTCAAAGAAAATAATTGACAAAACATATTAATTAAACAAATTAACAATTGATAAAATATATTCTTACATTTTTTCAGCATGCGGTGGTGAAAATTTTCATGGATCGAATCAATGATCCTGTTTTCCCCGAATCGGAACGTTGTGTTTTGAGAAAATTGTGCGCCTTATTCTCTGCATGGTGCCTCGAAAAAAGAATGTCCGACTTTTATGCCGGTGGATTTGCAAATGCAAATTCCAAACTCGACGTTTTACTTCGTGAGGGAATTGTTTCACTCAACAAGGATTTACTGAGTGAAGTTGTGGCTTTAATTGACGTTCTTGCGCCTCCAGATTTCGTTGTCAATTCTCCCCTTGGAATGTCGGATGGCGAGGTAAATTTCTGCAAAAAATGTTTAAAAATGTTTAAAGAAAATTGTGAATCAGTTTGCAAATTATTTAGTTTAATTATTTATTTACAAATTTTCCCGCTGTTATTTTCTCTAAATATTTCGACTTTTTTCAACAGATTTACAAACATTTGGAAGAGACCTTTTTCAAGGATCCGAAAAACTTCGAACGTCCATCGTGGTGGATGGAATTAAAATCAAACTTATAATTGAATTTCAAATGAAAGAAAACTTTATAAAAAGAATAAAAGTTAAATATAAAGTAAAATATTAAAGTTAAAGTTAATATTAACTGTTAAAGTAAAATATTTGTAATTTTCTAATTTTTGTAAATTAAATTTAAAAATTGTTAATAATAAAGATTTTTATTCTTCTATAAATTGCTGGATTTTTTTTCAGTACCCCTGTTGTTTTATCTTCATAACACTTTTTTCCCAAAAATTATTTCTTATTTCGAAACATTAAAATATACAATTTGAATTTAAGTTTTCACTTCATTTTTTACAAGAAAATGAAAATCCGTTTCCTTTAAAGTGATTCATAATTTCGTTTTTGTTATGAAAAAAGGACGCATTTTTCTATAAAAAGTCATTGTTCATTCATTTCATTTAGAACATTGTAAACATTTTAACTGTTATTATTGGCACACTTTTAAAAATAAGTTTTTTTCACAAACTTCATTGTCTCTTTTCTCTTTAAAGTTGTCAAATTGACTATTAAAAAAATTACAACTCAGTATGAGTTATTGATGAATGAAAGAAATGTTCATCATCTTCGGCAAACCATTGTTTATACATTTCTTCTGGATTAATATTCCAAAAACTATGAAACGACACTGGTTCACTGGAAGATATGTATCCTGCCGCATAATCAATCGCTCTTGCCTAAAAAAATAATAAATTTATGCCAGGAAATAACTTCCGTACAAAATACAAACAAAATACTAAATACAAACCTGATGAAAAGCAGGGGAGTGAGTTAAAGTGATGTCAATATTTTGAAGACATTGACCAAAGAGAAACATATCGTCAGCTATTTCTCGATGTGGACATTCACAATGTGTCGAATTAATCATTAATTTAATTACTGGTTTCGATAAAACGAGACCAGCGCCTGAAGTCAAATAATCATAACCGTCATCGTCGTTCAAACGAAAACCATAACGCTGTCCTAGTGCTACAGGATCTTTTGCATTGTAGCAAGTTAATAATTTTTGTATTCGAGCCAAACTGTGATTAAAAAATTTATTAGATTAACAATTATTTTTATTAATTTCTTTATTCATAAAGTAGAAAATTAGTAGTAAATTAGAAAACTTACCAGAAAAATTCTTATAATGAAAAAAAGTTTACCTGAGAATAGTATCATCGTCAGTAATTAGCAGCCAATCAATATTTTTTTCACTCATTACTTTGTAAGCGTGTTGTAAAATTCGATAAGTTTTTGCACAGTGTCCAGAAGTAGTTCTTGGAACCACGTGAGAATTCTTTAAACTATTGTCTGGTTTAATTTATATAGAAACATAATTATTTACAAAAACTAAAATTATTTTTTATAATACTATAATGATAGTTAAAAAAACTATTACTAATAGTAATAGTAACAGATTTTAAATCTAGATTCTATGGAATAAATTAAACTTATAGTTCATTGAAAAAAAAGAATAAATACCTTCTTCGTCCGTGTAAAATCCAATATGTTTTGCATATTTACTCCAGGTTTTTAAAATAATAGGTATTCGATCATTTCGAAATTGTTTACACGTTTTCACAGCAACGTAAATTTTTTCACTTGAAATTGGTTTATCCTGAATAAAAGAAACAAAAACAATGAATGCTTTCAAAATTATTTTGGTATAAAATGTTAATTTACAATAATGATAAAATACGTTACACAGGGATAAAATTGTCGTGGAAAAGTCGCGCATTTTCTATTAGAAACAACGCAAAATTTACTCGAGTGAGTTAAAGTTGGTCCTTTAATTATATCGTCGATATAATGAGCCAATTCATGAGAAGGATCTATAGAAAATTCCATTTGTCTGCTTTCCTGATTTGTGACAATACTAAAATTTAAATTTTACATTTTTTAATTTAATTTAAATTTACATTTTTTCTTTATACTGAAATAAGAAATCGTAGTAAAACTCTTCTTTAAAATGGTAATTTAATTTTTCATTTTCAAAGATTGTTTAAAAATTTTTAATAGGTTTCAATTTAAAATAAATAATAAATTTCACGAAAGTGAATAAAATATTAATAAAAATTTGTGATAATATTTAAATACCTGTTTAAAAAATCTTTAGTCATCGCAAAACCAGAAGCTTCATTAGGATATTTAAAAGGTGCTCTGATCTTTGCAAAATGATGAATTATAGTTAAATCATGATCAGTTAGTCCATAAGAAACCCACATATTCTGAAAAGAAATTTACGCAATTTATTATTTTTATCAATTTTTTCATTCATTGAAACAATATTATCAATTTTTTTTAAATGAAATATTGTGTGCATTAAAAAATAAATTTCTAAACACATACTTTTGATTTATATTCAGAGAGAACTTTAATGAGTTCTTGTAAATTAAATACAGTATTTTCTAAACAGAATAGAAACCATTTTTTATTAAGATAATTATATGACAAATGCGGCAATAAAGGTAAAAATGTCCATGATCCTTTAATTTGTAATTCATGTGTGAGAATCACAATTGGATAGTCCTGAAAAAATATTTAAACAATTTTCTCCTGTTAAATATCATTTTTGAACTTTTGTTTATATTGTTAGAAAATTGTTATAAATGAGTTATAGTAACAAATTAACAAAAATAGTCAAATAATAATATTAAAATAATTAAAATAAGTGAGATAAAGAAATCATGAAAGAAAAAAATACCTTTTCCATAGAATCAGCTTGTGTATAAATATTTTTTTGCAATAATTCAGCATGTGCTTTATGATAAGGATTTGATTGACTCATAATTACTATCACTAAATCTGACGGTTCTAGAAATTAATTATTTATTATTGAAACATTTAATTACATTATTATTATTTAACAATTAATATTTAACACCTCAATTTAAAAGAATAAATTTTCAAATAATAAACATACCCAAAGAATTGTTGACATCCTGGGAAATAATTTGTCCGACTTGTAGACAAATTATCAAGACGAAAAGATTCATTTTCTTATAAAAAAACTGCAAACTCCTTTTTAGTTTTTTTTTAAACTTACATAGAATCCTACTAATAGAAAACTGTTGTTCTAAAAATAAAGTTTTTCAATTTATAATGAATCACAATTACAATTAATTGCGACAAAGAATATATTTCACAGAAATTTTATTTTAATTCGGTTTATCCTATAATTACCAAAAGCCCGCGGACTTTTTAACCTCAAAAATATCAAAGTTCATATAACTTCGAGCACTTGGAAAAATTCATTAAATAAAGTATTTAGATCGCTAATATTAACTCTCCAACTATTAATGTCAATATTTAGAGAGTCGTTTACAAACGTAAAAGTAAATTAGAGCATAAAACTTGTAAAAAATACCAAAAATAAAGACATACCTCAAAACACCGGTTGTTGACATCGAAAAAGTACTCATCCAATCTCGAATAACAAAACACTGTTAAAAACTTAAATTACTTAAAATAAATACTTTAAATTAAAGTTCTACGACACATTAAACATTCCTCAATAATTGTAAACATTACACAAAGAAATTAATATAATAAATCTTTGAAAATCTTTGTTATTTATCGGCAAACAAACAAACGTTAATGTGGAAAGCAATGCTGCTAACTTCATTATGTATACAAATAAAACTGCGCATGCCTGACTAGACTATTTTTATTGGTCCAAAAAACGTGCGCGATTAATTTAAATACTCAAAACCGAAAGTTCAACTTTCCGAATGTTCAAATCAATCAAACCCCGAAAGTTTAAATCCGAGTGTTCAAAACCTTGAAAGTTCAACTCCCCGAATAATAAAAATCTCGATAAAGTTTAAATTCCTGAATGTTCAAAACGAGAAAATTGCAATAAAGCTGTGTTCACAATAGGTAATTTTCTCCAGGTTTTCTTTGCGCGCGAAATTTAAAACCTATTTTTAAACGTGCTATTTTTAAAATTCTATTTTTTCCCGCCTAATTTCTAGTTGGTATCATTGAATATTTTGATTTTCTTCTATTGGTACACATGCGTTGATAACTTTTCTCAAATTCTTACTTGTTTTTCTCTTAATTTATAACCTATTGTTAAACAAATTAAATAAATAACTGTGCTCGTTTAAAAAAATATCTCTAAATATCAATCACTCGATATTGAATGAAAGTAAATTTAAATAAAACTGTAGAAATTAATTTTTAATATTGATAAAATTCAAAAGTGACGGAAGGACGTGAATGTTGACAAAGAATTGAATTCCCGGTGGAAGTGCATTGTCTACAGTGCAAAAGGTTCCTTGGTGTTTCTCTATATAGGTAAAAGGAAAGTGTATAGATAAAAATTCCGTGATCGTGGAATCTCCAATTGTTGACCCGTCGTCGTTCATCGTTTTGTGATAGTTTTGGATAATAAATAATTTCAGTGAAATTTGTTGAATCTTAAACGTTTGTTAAAGTTTTATGCAGCTAATTTTTCAATCAACGCTCGTTGACAGATCAAGCGCGGGCGCACGATGAGCTTCCTATTGTAAGTTTTCCATTTATTATAACCAACTTTCTTTTACCTCACGCAAGAAATACAAGGACAAAAGTCTGAATCATTTTTTTGAGAAAAATTTTCCTTTTGTTTATTATTGTTATTGTTGTAAACAAATGAAAGGGAGTTAGAATGTTGAGTTATTTGCGAAGAAAAAGAGAATGAATGTATGGCAAAAATTGACCGGTCATTGTACGATTGACAGAACGACGACAGTAAAATAATTTCCTCTCCCTTCCTTTCGCAGACGAGTGGTCTGTAAAATTTAAGTTTCTTGACCTGAACAGGACTGAATCATTTTGTGTTTCGTCGCCTTGAAATAGTGAACGCGATTTTATATTGTCTTGATTCTTTTTTTTACTTTTATTTCCGCCTTTTGGTCGCGTAATATATTAATGACTCAAACGTTTAATATATATTATACGAATCATCTTGCTTCGAGAAGTAATTGCTCTACTCCACTCTTGTTTCTATAAATAGATTCAGAAGTAACGATATATGTATACAAATATACATGCAGTTTTAATTTTTTTCATCTCCTTTTGTGATATTTTATTCTGATTTATTATATACGTGAATACGAATGACTTGGAGCAAACAGAAAACTTGTTATTCTAATCAGCTGTTTGCAGACGTGCTATAAAGGCACTATTCCAAAATCGATATAAATGCTTCTTGTTCGACTTCTATGTCCTCACAGGTTGTGTGCTTTTTTTCTTTTTTTATTCATTTCTATTCTATCTCTTCTTCATTAATGTTATTTCACTATTTTTTATTGAAATAGAATTAATCTCTTAGATAATACAGTACTCTTTGTTTTCATTTTTTGTTTCAAAACAGTAAAATGAGAACTTGCTTTTATTTTTCAAAAGGGTATTCTTTATGATGTTCTCTTCCAAACCAAAAAATCATTTTTTAACACTTTTGTATAAAATCTTCAAAATTTAACACTATTAACATCATTTTTACAAAATTTACAAATATCTGACGAAATTTGCCGCATTATCAGATAGAAAGCCTATTATTATTTCTTGGACTAAAAATTCAATTTTTAATTTAAATTAATAATTATTTCACACCATCTTTTTTGTTTCAAAAGAATTTTGAGTTTTTTCAAAAGAATTTTACATTGCATTCAAAGTAAAGTATATTTTGAAATTTCATCACGTTTTGTTTCTCATATCTGACAAGTGTTTCATCTTAAAATATAATAATACTTGTTGAAATTTTATCAAAATGATTGTTTCTTCAGAAAAAAATGTATTGTAAAAATAATTATTTCTCTTTTTATGGAAATTATTTTTTTAAATTATTATTTTTGTTAAAAAAATTGACTTGTTTAAATTATTTTTTTTTATTATCGATGGTATTTTTTTTGCAAGAGACAATTTAGTTTTTTTTTATTTTCTGTATGTAGAGCACATCATTATTATAATTTTATTTAATTCGAGGTCGACGTGATTTTCAGAGGTCTTAAATTAACTATATATATATTACACTCAGCTCTCTCCTACGCTCATTACTCACCTACTTATCGTTTTAATATTATTTTTCTACAATGCGGGTTGTTCGTAGAAAAATATTGATACTGTAGTTTACTATTTTTGTTTATTTTCTCTGAATTTATGTATTTTTTATTGTAAAGTTAGGCACAAAATTTTAAACTCAAATTTTGTATTCTTTGTTTTAAAAATTCTTCGCAGAAATTCAATTATGTTCAAAAATTTAAAAACAAATTCTCGCCAAAATTTCAATTATCTTTATAAATAATCAAATTCTTCTTCGAAATTCAATTATTTTTCTAAAAATTTTAATAAAATTCGTGGCAAAATTCCACAGGAATTTCAATTATTTACAAAATTTTAAATAAATTTCTTGGTAATAATTCAATTATTTTCATAAGTAATAAAATTTCCACGCAGGAATTCAATTATTTTTAAAAGTAATAAAATTCTTCGCAGAAATTCAATTATTTTAGAAAAATTTTAATAACATTCGTGGGGAAATTTTAATTATTTTTGATACAATTTTAATCGAATTCCTCGAAAATATTTAAATATTTGTGGCAACCCTGAATAATAATAAATTATTTCTTGTGTCACTATTTTTCTTCTGGTAGTTTTTTCAAGTTTTATATTTTAATTTTTCATCGTTAATTCAATTCAAAGTTATGAATTGTCATTATTTTCTTTTATGCTCATATAATTTAACTGTATTTCCTGTTGGCTTTTGTATTTCATTACTGGGGTACATTTTTATTTAGAACAATGAAGAGAAAGTTTGCCTGTTAAAAAAATATTCCAAATATATCACTCTATAAATATAACGTTTTTAAATATTCAAATTTTTTTGAATTTATTAGCAATGAAAATTATTAGAAATATTGCAAATTTTTTCCAATGAAAGATTAACTAACGAGGAATAAAAATTATTATTTTTCTAGTGGAAGCCGTTCTTCAAAGACCTTTAAGCCGAAGAAAAATATTCCCGAGGGAACACATCAGTATGATTTAATGAAACATGCGGCCGCAACGCTTGGATCGGGAAATTTGCGACTTGCAGTTATGCTTCCTGAAGGAGAAGATTTAAATGAATGGGTCGCCGTTAATAGTAAGAACAGAAATTTATTAAGAATTGAAAATTTCTTTCAAAAGAATATTTAAGAAAATAACAATTCTTTTTTCATTTTTGCAGCTGTCGATTTTTTCAATCAAATCAATATGTTGTATGGCACAATCACAGAATTTTGCACAGAAGAAAGTTGCTCGATTATGTCGGCGGGACCAAAATATGAATACCATTGGGCCGATGGTCACACAGTGAAGAAACCAATAAAATGTTCAGCACCCAAATATATTGATTATTTAATGACATGGGTGCAAGATCAATTAGATGACGAGACACTTTTCCCTTCGAAAATTGGTAATTTTTCTTAAAAACAATATTTTTCGTGCTAAATTATAAATAGATGAAAAATAATTAACGAATACAAATTTTTCCAGGCGTACCTTTTCCGAAAAATTTCCTCTCAATCGCTAAAACAATATTGAAGAGATTGTTCCGAGTTTATGCGCACATTTATCATCAACATTTTAGTGAAGTTGTTCAACTCGGCGAAGAAGCGCATTTAAATACGTCTTTCAAACATTTCATATTTTTCGTTCAGGTGAGTTTTTTATTTCCATATTTTTCTACTGCAGGCCTCGCACTCATTTACTATTTAATTTTTTTTCGTTTTGCTACTATTTGGACACTGTTTTTTTATTTGTTACACTAAAAGCTACTTTTTTCCATGTTTGAGAATTTAAACTAAGCTTTAAATTTGTTAACAGTTGAAAAAACAAAATTATTTTTAAAAAATTTAATAAAGTTATTTAAGACAGAATTTTTCTAATGTTTTTCGAAAAAATCAATTATTTTAAGAAATTTTTATAAAATTCTTCTCATGAATACAATTATTTTTTAAAATTTTAATAATAATCGTTGCAAGAATTCAATTATCTTCACAAATAATAAAATTCGTCGCAAGAATTTAATTATTTTCAAAAGTATAATAAAATTCTTCGCATAAATTTAATTATGGTCAAAGATTAGAAAAATTTCTCGTCGAATTTTCAATTAACTTAATAAATGATAAAATTCTTCTCCTGAAAATTCAATTATTTTCAAAAACTTTTTTTTCTTCATAAACATTCAATTATTTTCATAAATAAAAAAATTTTCACAGGACTTCAATTATTTAAAATACAATTATTCTAATATTTTTCGAAAAAAATCAATTATTTAAATAGATTTTTATAAAATTCTTTGCAAGAATTCAATTATTTTTATAAATATTAAAACTCATCGCAAGATTTCAATTATTTTGAATACAATTTTAATCAAATTCCTCGAAAAGTGTATCTAATTATTCTTAAAAATTTTAATGAAATTCTTTGAAAAAATTCAATTATATTTTAAAAATTTTAATAAAATTTTTCGAAAGAATTCAATTATTTAAAAAATTTTTTAATGGAATTCTTTATAATAATTGAATTGTTTTCAATATAATTTTAATAAAATTTTTCGAAAGAATTCAATTATTTTCTAAATTTTCAATAAATCTTTCGAAACAATTCAATTACATTTATAAATATGTAGTAAAATTCTTTACAAAAATTCAATTATTTTCAATAAAATTTCACGAAAGAATTCAATTTTTTTCTAAATTTATTATAAAATGTTTCAAAAGAACTCAATTATTGTCTCAAATTTTAATAAAATCTTTGCAAAAATTCAATTGTTTTTAATATAATTTTAATAAAATATCAAGAAAAAATTCAATTGAAAAAAATTTTAAATAACATTTCTCGAAAAAATTCAATTATTTTCTAAAATTTTAATAAATCCTTCGAAACAATTCAATTATTTTTTTAAATATTAGAATCTTTGCAGACATTCAATTATTTTCTCAAATTTTAATAAATTCTTTGCTAAAATTCAATTATTTTTAATACAATTTTAATAACTTTTCATGAAAGAATTCAATTTTAAATAATATTTTTCGAAAAAATACAATTATTTTCTAAAATTTGAATAAAATGTTTGGAAAAATTCAATTATTTACAAAAATTTGATATAATTTGTTTCTTAGAGTGTAATAATTATTTTCAATTCATTTTCAATTACATTTCTTGAATGAATTTAATTATTATCAAAAATTTTCATGCAATTCTTCGTAAAAATTCAATTATTTTATAAAATGTTTATAAAGTTCTTTATAAGAATTCAAATTTAAGAAATATTCAATTATGATTATGATTATGATTATGATTAAAGTTTTGAATAATTTTATTTATATTCAACAAAAGAATGATTGAATTTTGAAAGATGCTTTTTTAATTTTTAGAAATAGTTAAATTTCGAAAATGTGTTACATTGAAGTCATTTGAAATATTTTAATTCCTGTAGACAAAATAAATATGTATTTAAATATTTATTTTCAAAAATTATTCTATTTTCGAATGTAACTAATTATAAAAAAGTTGAGTCGACAAGTTTAATTTTTCGATAGATACTTTTTTACTACCTTTTTTCTGTCTTTATGCTACTTTTTGCTACTTTTTTTAAAATTATTTATTGAGTACGAAGCCTGCTACTGAAATATTTTTTACCTTTTTTGTAATTTCAAATAGAAAAAATGTACAATAATAGAAAATTTGCAATTTTACTCTATTGAATTAATTTCCAATTGGAAAATTTAAAAATCAGGAATTCAATTTGATTGAACGAAGAGAATTGGCACCTCTCCAAGAATTGATAGAAAAACTTACTGCAAAGGAAGGTCGATGAACGCAACCTTTGCTCCGCCGAAATACTGTGAAACTTCTCCAAAGAATCTCAACTGTGCTGTTTCCGTTAATGATCACCGTAATAATTACGCATATATTATTTAATTAATCAATTTCAATTTTCAACAAACAAAAAAAAAGCAAATTTACATATTTTTTTTTTGTTTCACAAAGAACAAAGCATTTTTTTATCCAGATTTTTTTTGTGTTTTATAAAACATTTTATCGAATTGGTAATGGTTTTAAAAGTTTTTTTTAAATCCTAGCAGCGTAGTTACTGAGATTATTATCTGAATTTATAAAATTTTCAGTCGCTGGAAAAATAAGAACTATAAAATTTTATATTTTCAATAACCTCGAGCCTTAAAGTTATGAAAAATGCTATGAACCTCTGCCGTTTGTACTTGATTATATAATGTAACGATTTACACTCTATATTTTAATAATACAGCTAAATAGAGTCGGCTTTTTTTATAAGCATTCGATTTTTGATGAATAGTAATTTCTTTGTTATATAGAATTTGTTGCATTATCGGCACGTCGTAGCTACAAATTGAAATAAGATATCGAGACGCACACACGATTATTCTTCAAAAGAAACACTTATTCAATATTTTATTGAATAGAGCTTCTGAATCCTAGTAGTAAAGAAAATTCTTTTCTTATTATTTTGAGGAATGTTCGCATGTGATCCGAGGGAAAAAAATCGTGAGATATCGATAGTTTTATGAACTGAAAAATGAAGAAAAAGAAGTTCATTTTTAGAAATTTACTATCGCACCGCGCTTGGTATGTAAAGGGTATTAGGTTAGAAATCTATTAACGATATTTAATAATTGTATTGTTATTATGTAGCGTCGACGTATCGAAAGCCCCTAGGATAACGATTATACACTTTTTTTCCCTCCTAGACGTTTAAAGCGCGTTGATAAAATTTGATGTCGACGTATTCGAAAAAAATTTTTCTTCAAATAGTTGGTCTTCGAACAGCATTCAATTGTATATTAAGGGCACTTTCACCTGCCCTCCATATACCTTAAATGCTTATAATTATTAAGCAAAGAAGTAAAAAAAATTTACAATTATTGTCATCGCATAAATAAGTTTTGCTTACTTTTTTTTCCATCGTGGAAAATAAGAGTCGTTGAAAACGAATTACACGTATATATTTTCCGAATTCATCCGAATTGGCTAAATGGCCAAGGGAAAAATATTGATATTTTATATACAGTATGTACTGATAAAATAGATATCGAAGAGAGTGAGCTAATTTACAAGAAAATATATTTAAGCTTTATTTTTGTTTTTAAACAATTTTTTTTAATTATTTAAAATTTTTTTTCTGTTTTTCACTCTTTTGTTTCAATCACGATTTTAAATCAGTGAACAATGTATAATGGGTCCATTTGTGTGTTAATAATGTAGCTGTGAAAAAAATGTAATTTTAACATTATTAAGGCGACGTTTATAATGCGACACAATTTTTTTTTTACATCCGAACTTGACGTTTGAATTTTTAAAAATTTACTGTTTTCGTTTTTGAAAACAATAATTAGGATTTTTTTTTATTTACTCTTTTATTTTTGTGGTAAAATATTTACAAATATTTTTTTTATATTTTTTCTATTTTTGTGTCGCACGTCAAATTTACAAATTCACACACGAGACAAGAAATTCAGAATTAAAAAATGAGATTTTTTTTATTTCAAATTTTTAAGGATAATTTTATTTTATTGCGTTTTTAATATCGTGAAAGTAATCAAATTTGAAAGCTGTGAAAAAGTGAATTTCAAATTTGAAAGCGCATGAAATTGATTTTTTTCTAAAAAAAAAGAAAATAATTACCTGTACGAACAGAATAGATCTTTAGTCTTTATTAATACGTCTATAATTTAAGAATGTTCTCGCCGAACGATAGTAAATCGTAACGAAAAGTTTGTGATTTTTATGAATGTAGGATTATGAAACTAAAAAAAGAAATCGTTAGAAAAGTATACGAATAATTGTTACATTTTTGTACTTAAAGAATTGATTTAATTGTACTAATTCTTTAGCAAAAAAAAAAAAGAAAAAAACGATCGTTCTTGTAGGCAAATTATTTTCATTATTTAAATAACGCACACTTTTTTAATTTAAATAATTTGAACAAGTTCGCTACAGGTATATAAATAATTTAGCGCTGGCTTAAAATTGATTAATATTTAAAAAAATCCAAACAAGAAAAAATTTCAATTCATTGCTTTCATAAATTTTCAAATGTTGTTCACTAGCTTTTGTTGAAAAACTGCTGTAATTTTTTTTTTTATTTATATTTTTTATGGAGTGTGGAAAAAAGCACCGAATTAAGCGATTTCGACAAATTTAATCCTTTAATCGTCGGTGATAAATTTGTGCAATGTAAATAGTATTTTTTCCAATAAATGAAAGATCGATGTAGTAAATTTGATGTAAATTTATTTATCCATTTTAAATAGCAATAGAATTAGAAATTTAACTCTATACTAATTATTGTCTATTTAAGAAAAAAATGTTTTAGCGAAAAATTGGTCTACACGTTTTGTTGGCAAATCGTTTAGATTTGAAATGAAATCGAATTGGCAAGGGATATAGACGAAAAAGACGTCTTGGTTTTAAAGAATATGGTGAATGATAAAATTGTTGATAACATTCTGAACAAATTGGTTGTAAATCACAATGTTTGCAATAATTTTCTTCAATATTAAAAATTGCTTTTGAATTAATGCCAATTTCGCTATCTTTCGAATAATTTGGCAAATTTGTAGATTTTTGATGAAGACAAATCCATTGGAAGAATTGAAAAAATTGTTTCATTCGTGATTTTTTTATTCTGAATGAATATTCTTGATCATCGTAATAACATTCGCAAAAATTTTCACATTTGTCAAATTTTTCTTCAATAAATTCATGACACTTTTCATCTGCTTCGTCGAATTTTTGACAAATTTTGCAAAACATGTTTTTTCTCATAAAATATTTATTTAAAGGGAAATTATTGTAATGGATAAATTTTTGAAAGACGTTTTAAAGACATTTCGTTCACATTTTGTTCACATTTTGTTCGTTTACGATTTTTAATTTTAATTTTTAAATTTGTTTCATATTCTACGAGCTTTATTTTTTGAAAACAAAAAGCAATCGTGATTTATTGTCATCGTTCCCACCAATTTTATTTACAAAAATGGAAAATTTGAAATCGTCACTGCGCAAGTTTATAGAATTTTGTACTAGACAATTATTACTATTCAAAATTTATGTTTGTTTCGTCGAAGTTGAATTTGGAAGAAGTATAATTTAAAGTGCGTGTGTGTACTTTTATTTTTCAACAATGGAAAAATTTTATTTTACAACAGAACAACTTGAAAATACTCCAAGCACAAAAGATGGTATTTTTATTGATGATGAAATAAAATATCGAGTAAGAATTGCAACATTTTTACAAGCTTTGGGAGAAAAATTGAAAACGTATCCTTTTCAAAAATTATAATCAATACTTTAAGATTGTGATTGATTGTATCTATTATTTGATTTCGTAAACAAATGTTCCGTTTGTGTATATGTGTACAAATTATGAATGAGAAATATACGAAATGAAAGATTTACAGAAATTTAATTAAATGATTTTTAATATTAATTTCGATATTAAAAATATAATTGTAATTTAATTGAATTTCTTTATTTTATTTCTTTATTCAATGTAATTTTTTTATTTAATTAAATTTCTTCTTTATTTTAAAGAAAATTATAATTTTCCTTGATTTTGATGAAAATAGTCCACAATTGTGTATTAACACTGCTATTGTATTTGTGAAAAGATTTTTTATGTATCATTCAATGAAGAAGTGTGATAAACACAAAATTTCGCTTGCCGCTTTATTTTTAGCGTGTAAAAGTGAAAATTCGTCAGTAAAATTGGAACAAATGATTCAATATTACTTAAAATTTGTATCTCCGTATAAAAAACATGGTGTTAATTCAGAAGTAAGTGTAACTTTAGAATTTTAATTCCGAATTTATAGAATTTTAATGTTTCGTATTCTTTCAGGAATTCAAAGAGGAACTCGAGTGTTTGAAATTCAATGAATTCTTAATTCTGATGACTTTGGGATTTGAAGTTATAATTGAACATCCTCATCTTCATATTGTTAAAAACGCTTCTCTTTTTCGAGGTATTTATTTAATATATAAAAATTACAAATTAAATATTTATATTTTTGGAAAAAAATAAATTATATTTCATTATAATCTATATTAATAATTGTTGTACATATTTCGGAATGTTTTGAAAGAATTTTATTTAAAATTTTTAAAATAATTGGATTCAATCGAAAACTTTTATTAAAACGTTTAAAATAATTAATTTTCTTCAAAATTTTATCAAAACTGTTGAAAATAATTGAATTTTATTTAATATTTTGAAAAATAATTGAATTCCTTTAAAGAATAATTGAAATTGAAAAATAATTGAATTTTTTCAAAAAATTTTACTAAAAATTGGAAAAAATTGAATTAAATCCTTCCGTGAAATTTTATTAAAATTGTATTAAAATTAATTGTATTTAATAAAAATTTTGGAATATAGTTAAATTCTTTAAAGAAATTTTATTCAAAATTCTGAGAAATTATTTTTTAAAATTCTATAAAAAGAAATTTAATTTTTCAAGAATTTCATTTAAAAAATTGACATACCTAATAAATTGAATTTTAAATATATTTAAAATAAATTTTACAGACAATTTTAGAAATAATTGAATTTCTGAGATTAACTCTAATTTTAGAATTTTCTTAAATTATTTTTTAAATGAATTTTGGAATTATAATTGAAATTTCTGAAGTTTTAAATAAGATATTTAAATATTTTTCAAGAAATTTATTAATTACTTTGAAAATAAAGGGATTTTTTAAGGAATTTTACAGAAAAGAAGATTTTAAATAACCAGAAGGAAACGAGAAGGAAAAAATTAAAATAATTGAAAATAATTGAATGTTTGCAAAGACTTTACTATTTAAAAAAATAATTGAATTGTTTCAATGGTTTTATTCAAATTTTAGAAAATAATTGAATTCTTTCGTGAAATTTTATTAAAATTGTATTGAAAATAATTCCATTCCTGCGAAGAATTTTACTATTTATAAAAACAATTGAATTCTTCCGAAGAATGTTGTTATTTATGAAAATAATTGAATTCTTGCGAAGAATTCAATTAGAATTAAAGAAAATATATATAAATAAATATAAATTAAAATTTGAAAATAAAAAATTTTGTAATTTGCATAATAATAAATTGAATATCACGTTCCGCGCGTAACATTTGCTAGTTATTTAAATAAATAAAAAAATTTTTTTGTTCCTAATTCAGTGAGTAAAGATGTCATAAAATTGGCTTACTTCACGGCTTCCAAAAGGTAATTTTCAAAAAGAAATTTTAAATTTTAATTCTCTTGTAAATTTTCTAATTTTCAGAAAAGTTTTTTTAATATAATTGTATTTTTTCAGTTTACATCTGACGTCATTGTGTTTACAATTCACACCAAAAATCGTAGCCTGCTTCTCAATTCATTTAGCTGCCTTGAAATTCCAAGTAAAGGTAAATTTTCTTCACTTTATTTACAAGTAAAAATAATATTTCTCCAATTTTTCGCAATTTAAAAAAAAATTCTCTTACAGATTCCAGATGTGGAAAAAAATCAACCATGGTTTTCACTTATCGAGAAGAATATGACTCATAAACTTTTGGACGATTTAACGGAAAGTTATTCTGAATTATTTGAAAATCATGAACCGTGGTCGAGTGTGGCTAAAAAAATGACAGAGATTCAAGCTCCAAAATTAAATCTCAATTTGAGTATTGGAATTACGAGGAAACAATTATCATCAGATCTTCTTGATGAATCATCAATTTTGAATGAATCCAAAAATCAAAATTTGCATTCGTCACTTAACGCCAGTCAGAAGAATTTATCAAAAAATAACGAAACTGGAATGTCATCAACACTCAATAATCTCCAATTAAAATTCAACAATCACGTGACATATTTTTCAACACCAAATCGAGAAATTTTACAAACACTATTGCGTCACAATGAAAAAGAAATTCATCTTCAATCACCAATCTTTAGTACAATAAATTATCTCGAGAGTCGGAATAATTTACTTCTTTCCAGTTTTGATGAAAATCTCCATTTCTCTTCATCTCAGAATAATCATTCAACACCGAAAATTACATCGATTCCTTTCAATTATAATCATCAATTAACACCGGTCATGAAAAAAGATAAAATGGACGAAATTTGTCCCAAGGAGAATTATCAACCGAGACGTAATTTCTTAAAAAATTTAGAAACATCAAATATTGATCACTTGATTAATAGCAATCATGAAGGGGCAAATTATTTTTCCGATCATCAATCTAAGGGAATTAATTATAATTCTGAAATTCGTGAAATTTGGCAACCGTTTCTTCCCCAAATTAATCATGATTTTAAAAAAAATGAGAGATGTCAGAAAATGTCAATAAAACGACAATCTTACGATTTAAATGATTCCATTATGAATAAACGTCGTTGTTTATCTAATGTTGATACATTCCAAAGTACCACACCACAATATAAATTTAATTTTTTTCAACCGTAAAGATTCTGGAAAGAAAAAGTTAATATGTACTTCTTCCAAATAATAGACTGTGATATTTTTAAAATTATATATACGTATTAAAAATCAGAGTTCTTTAAAACGACAAACAATCATTTTTCTATTCTTTGTCGATATATTATTATTATAAAAAGACATTTGTTTTCATTAAAGCGGATTTGTAAAGGGTGAAAAAAAATTATGTATAATTAAGCAATTTTGTAATTTAAATGTTTTTATTGAAATGTAACTTCTAGTACCAAATTTAATATTTTCTTTTATTTTTATTGAATTTTTTTTTACTGTTAGGTATTTATTCATTTAAAAAAAAATTGTGCTAGATATTTTGTTTCGTAACATTTTTAATAATTTTTCTTTTTAAAAATTTTCAATTTTAAAATTAATGTATTAAAAATCATCGAATTGTTGCAAAGAATTTTATTAAAAAATTTGATAATAGAATTTCTTCGAAGAATTTTATTATTCAGGAAAATAATTAAATTCTCGTGCAGAATTTTATTAAAATTTTTGAAAAAGATTCTGTTTAAAAAAATAATTGAATTGTTTCGAAAGATTTATTAAAATTTTAGAAAATAATTGAATTCTTTCGTGAAATGTTATTAAACATTTTTTTTAAATTGAATTTCGTCTTGAAATTTTATTAAAACTGTATTAAAAATAATTGAATTTTTGCAAAGAATTCATTAAAATTTTTGAAAATAATTCAATTCTTTTGAAAAATTTTCTAACGAATTTATTAAAAATTGAATTCTTTCGTGAAATTTTATTGAAAATAATTGAATTTTTTCAAATATTTGTATTAAAAAAAATAATTGAATTATTTTGAAGGATTTATTAAAATTTTTGAAAATAATTTGAATTCTTGCGAAGAATTATATTAAAATTATTGAAAATATAAACAATAATAATTAATTATGTACTTAATATGTGAATTTTTAAAATTTTGATTATGAAATTATTCAAAAATTTATTTTTGAAAATAAAAAATTTTGTGATTTATGATAATAATAATTATTTAGAAAGCGCGCCTTAATGTTTTGGAAAGCACTGATTGGCTGATTATTCCCTCGGAAAAAAAAGAATTTTTAATTTTTGAGAGCGTCATCTATATTTTTTCAACGGACAAACTTGGAACTAAGGCCCAAGCTTTGCTATTTTTTATACATGTATAAAAACGATAAAAACATATACACCGAAAGGACCAAAAATATCTTTAAATTTATAAATTACACAGAAAAGTGTATAAATAAAACTACTTTTATTATTTATAACGAAGCATAAATATGAACTAATAAAATTTGAAATTTTTTCAGACAGGTATGTTGATCACTTTGTTTATTTCTATAATATTTGCATAATAAGTGTTATGTTGTCGGAAAGAATACTCTTAACTTTTCATAGTTAATATAATAATTTTAACTAAATATGAAACAATTGAGTATTTGCTTTAAGTTACGTAATGATATAAACTTGAGAAATTGTAACAAAAACCCTGTAAATATCGGTTTTATCAACTAATAAATATTTCTAACCTCAAAATTACTTTGGAAAATATGGGTAAAGGGGGTAAAGCAATAAGGCAAAGTGTATTAAATTCATGTAAATGAAACGATTCCCCAACATTTTTTATTAAAGTTAATAATTTCTTTGTTTTCGTATTTTAGCTTCTTCATTTTGGGTATAAGAAAAATTGCATGATAATCTTTCACAATGACTACGACAAAAACTCCGGTTTCGATTCTAAACGAAATGATGGTAAAAAAGAGAATAATTCCTGCATTTGATTTACTCGGCACTGAGAGTATAAATTTGACGACACGATTTACATACCAAGTTTCTTGTGATGGACTAATTGCAACAGGAAGTGCAAGAACTAAAAAAGAAGCTAAACAAGAATCGGCGAAGGAAATGTTGGAGAAAATTGCAACACGAGATGCTCAATTAAAGGAAAAAGCATTAAAGAGGCCACTCGTTACAGAACAATCAAGAGAAAATGTAGTTGAACCAAAAAAATCACGAGTCGCTCCAGGGCAAAATTTTATTGGCCCCCTAATCGTAGGTTCATTATTATAATTCATTTATTAATAATAATAATTAGATTAATAACTAATTAATAACTAAAAATTTGAGAATAATTGGATTCCTTTGAAAATTTTATTATTTATGAAAATAATTGAATTTTTTTCTAAAATAAATGCTCTTTTACTTTTAGCAACTCTGTTCGAAAAAATTTATGGAACTTCCACAATATAAAATTGATGAAACGGGTCCTGCTCACATGAAGACATTCTCTGTCACCTGCTCTGTTTCAACATTAACTGCTTATGGTTATGGAAAAACGAAAAAACAAGCTAGAAATGAAGCTGCATTCAAGATGTGGGAAATGATCCAAGAACAAATATCCGCTGATCCGCAGAATAATGACATAAAAAAAGAATTACAATCCTCATTAATTAAAAATTCAAAAGAATTGCCTCCAGACAATGAAATCGTTCAGATAAATTCAACGAATGGACAATTTGCAAATAAGCTAAAAACTCAAGACGAAAACACAATTCCAGATTCTTCTACAGTGAAAATTGATAAAATTCTTGAAGCAAAAAACGAAACAACTTCCACGCATGATGCTCCATTAAGCCATGAAAATGCTTCTTCATCGGATGAGAAGACTACGAATGAAAAAACTGTGTCTGATGGTGCTGTAAAGGTCCACAATCCACTTGCAACAAAAATTAAATCTTCGATTAAGGAAAATGAAACAGACTCTCCAACATCTAATGAAACAGAAGTTACTACCGAAAATGTTAAGGTTCACAATCCCCTCTCAACAAAATTACAAAACCCTCAAAATTCTCCACTATTGAAATTTATGCAAATGAAGGCGGATTCAAATAAATTACTCATAACTGATGGACATTTTAAAAAATGTTTCGAAGATGAAATTCGTCAACCCATATTACAGCAAGTGGTGAATTTAATGAAAGAAATAAATTCTGCGCAAGAAATAACCGAGAAATTTTTTTCCGAAGTGAGAACAAATTTTATCGAATTATTAAAACCATTGAAATTAATATACAAAAGTAAAAAATTAGAGACAAAATCAAGTAAATTTATTATGTTCGTCGAAATTTCTACAAATCCAGACATCAATGAAATTGGAATTGCCGACACTCTACATCAAGCGGAAATAATGGGTATAAAACAAATTTTACAATTATTAATCAAGATGCTGTAAAATAAATTTCGAAACTCCTTTCAACTAGACTGAACAGATTTTCCAACAGCTAATTTAAAATTGAGAATTGATTCCACAATTAATTTTTTAAGAGAGGTATGGACTCATTTTCAGTTATAACTCATTATTTTACCGTAATAAATTGTTCTCTTGTTTTTCAACTCAAAATATTTTCAGTGGCATGAAATTGATTTTTTTGTTTAAATAATATATTTTGAAAATATTTTTATTTGAGTTTAGTTTGACAAGAGAATTTCATGATTATTAAATTACTTATTATAATATTTCTTTTACTTTTGTTAATGTAAAAAATAATTTAACGAGATAGCAAATTAATTTTGCATAATTGTTGCATGATAAAAACACTCAAAGTGTTCTTTCTCTTATGGAGAACGATCTCGTCAAGTTAATAAATAATTTTCTTGTTAAAAAGATATATAATGTAATAAATAAGTGTAAGAAAATATAATATAAATAAAAATTGTTAAAAATTTCATTCTAATAATTTTTATTAAATTAAAAGATAGTTTTTTTTAAATATTTAATTCTTTTATTTTTTAGTTTTTTTTTAGTTTTAATAGTTCTTTTAAATTTTTTTAGTTTAAATACAGTTTTTTTAATTTTCTATAAATTTCAATGTTCGAGCCCTGCACTTATTTTAAAACAATTGATTTTCTATTTGATATCACATAGCAAGGCAACTCCTCGTAAAGTCCAATGTCGTGGATTATAATCTGTTTCGAAATCAATTGATCCCACGTATTTTTGATCAGTTCTTTGGGGTTTTCTATAAATTGGACATTCGTATAATTTTGGATCTTTACCTGCAGTTGTATTAATGGCGTAAATATAAATTACTGGCATTTGCTCGTAGAGAACTTTTGACTTGCTTTCAACGAGTTTTCCACTTTTTCGATCCAATGATGCCCCCTCGAGGAATAGACCGTGAACGTAAACACCCTCTTGTGGTTGATCCTTGATATCTTCCTTATTGTAACGAGTTATTAAATTTTGCAGAACGACTGAATCCAAAGCCCATCCTTTATGTGCTCTGGTAACTTCCTGATACAAGAAAGTGAAACAACAAAAAGTGAAGCGATTCCCAAAGGAGGAGCAAAAAATATAATATTGGAATTTATTTCACCTGACGCATTGCGGTTAAAAATCCCTGAGGATTGAAAAATCCAGTCATCCAAAATGCAGTTGGTCTTCCATTATTACACCATTGACGGAATTGATAATCTCTTTCCAATAATTCCGTGTACCAGAAACCTAGAGTCGCTGATTCCCATGATATTTTCGACCATTTATCGGGAATTCTTGCATCGTACATCGCGTCCAAGGATGTACGTAAATTTTGGCTCATTACTATTGTGCCATCGATTGCCAACTTTAGATTTGTCAAGGTAGTGTGCACCTCCTTAATCACTCTCATAATTCTAAATCATAATTTACAATTTTATTTTATTTATGTTTTCGTTTTTTCACAATATTAGGGTTGGCTCAGTTCAGCAAATCAGGGAATTTAGGGAAATGTCGGAGAAAGTAAAATTAGTAAGGGAAATCGGAATTTTATTAAAATTATCAGGCTTCGCACTCATCTACTAAAATCTACTATTTACTATGTACTTTTCTTACGTTATACTACTATTTGGATTTTTTTTAGATTGCAGCCACTAAAAGCTACTATTTCTGTTTTTTTTGTTGAGAATTTCCACTACTTTAAATTCGCTAATACCTATAAATCAAAAAAACTATTCTCAAAAATTATAATCAAATTCTTTAAAACGATTCAATTATTTTCAAAAAATATTCGAAATTCAATTATTTTCAATATTTAATTTTTTTTATGAAAATTCGCAAAACAATTCAATTATTTAAAAAAAAAATTGATAAAATTCATCAAAAATTCAATTATTTTCAAAAATAACGAAATTTTTCACAAAAATTCAATTCTTTTGAAACATTTTAATAAATTATTTCAATTATTTTTGAAAATTTTAATAAGATTCTTAGCAACTATTCAATTACTTTCATAAATAATAAAATTCATCGCAGGATTTCAATTATTTTCTAAAATTTTAATAAATCCTTCTAAACAATTCAATTATTTTTCTAAATAGTAAAATCTTTGCAAAAATTTAATTATTTTCAATAAATTTTCGGGAAAGAATTTAATTTTTTTCTTAATTCGTTATAAAATTTTTGAAAGCAATGCAATTATTTTCTAAAATTTAATAAATCCTTCGAAACAATGCAATTATGTATTTCTATAAATAGTAAAATTCTTAGCGAGAATTCAATTTTTTTTATAAAAATATTTCTATAAAATTCTTCAAAACAATTCAATTATTTTCAAAAATTTTAATAGAATTCTTTGTAAAATTTAATTATTTTTAAAAACTTTTCGCAATTCAATGATATTTAATATTCACTGTTTTTATAAAATTTCCAAACAGAATTCAATTATTTAACAAATTTTTTGTTAAACTTTTTGTAAGATATTAATTTTTTTCATGAATAATAAAAATTTCTCTGGAATTTAATTATTTAAATTAGAATTTGCATAAAATTAGACGAAAGATGAAATCAATTATTGAAGTTTTATAAAATTCTTCTCTAGAATTAAATTATTTTTTTAAATATTTAAATTCTTTCGCATGAATAATAAAATTCGTAGCAGGAATTAAATTTATTAGCAGGATAAGAAAGAAGTAAATATTTTTGATGAAAATTAGTAAAAAGTCAGGAAATTAAAATATAGAATGGAATTTTTCTGTTCTGTGAGGTTTCTAAAACGAGTTTTTTTGTTCAAGTTTAATTTTTCGATAGCTACTTTTTTACTACTTTTTTTAGTTTGAAAGCTACTTTTTGCCACTTTTTTTAAAATTAATTATCGAGTGCGAAGTCTGAAATATTCCATTTCTAGAATTTCTCTGTATAAAAAAGATCCAAACCTGTCGACTTCTTGTCTCAAAAAAATGTTCATCGGTAACAATGGTCCCATTCTTTGTAGCGATTCCTTGACTTCAAAGGAATTATACTGTTTCGGTAATTTATTGAGCATATCATCGGCCAATCTGTAGACGACACTTTCCCTCGTTTCACCACCTTGGGAGCCACCTTCTTTTGGTTGAACGCTCAGAATTGTATCCAAAATACCCTTCGCTGTGTTTATTTGATAAGTGATGTCAGCATTCGGATGAAGTCCAAAAACTTCTGGTGTGTCATTCGCCGGCAGATTGTTTATATAGTCGAGGTATCCGTGAAGATTTCGCGTTTGTGGTACCCTGTAACCTCTGTAAAATTCAAATCCCTGACGAAGAAGTACATCGCAGAACCAGACATGAGTGAAGGTGGTGAGTAGACGTTTGTCGAAATCGTCAGTAACTCTTCCACCGTATTGCACCTTTGGGACAAGAATTTTGTGTCATCTTTTATTTTCATACCTTGATCTGAATTTTATTATACTGTTTAATAATTTTAATTTAGTTTCTGAATTTGATTCCCTGATTTCCCTGACCGAATCGGTTCAGAAAAATTCCAATCCAATCCAATTGGAAAAAAATTCAGAAACTAAATTAAAAATTAATTAATTAGAATTAAAATTATTTAAAAGAAATTACTTCTCCAAGCATGTAACAAACGGTTGGCCAAGAGACTCCTTTCTTCGGATCCATGTCATCTAAATGATTCTGAATGAATTGGACGGATGCTGCAAAATCTGCTTGATTGAATTCGTAAGGAATGTTCCAGCCTAGTGGACCAAATTTTCTTCGTTCTTGAACGACTGTGTGAAGAAATGCAACAGCGTACAGAAGAGGAGGCCATTGAGGTTGAGTACTGTAGTCCAAGGTGTCTTGATTAACTCCTTGATAAGTTCGCTTCAAACTGGCTCTTATACCCTGAGGTGGTTCATTCGTGAACTTTATAGCCATCTGAAAGGAAAGACGAAAAAATACACCAGAGGAACCAAATAGAAAATTACACTGTAAATAAAAGGTTCTAAATTAGAGCTAATTTTCGGTATTAAAATAGAACCAAATGATCATTTAGTACCAAAATTGGTTCTTAATTAGTAAAATTGTTTAAAAGTTCACCTGTAACAATCCAATTGGAAATTGTGCATGCACTTCTGTTGTCATCCATAGTCGGAAGGAATCGTGAATATTGTCAGTCTCAACTAAAACGTCCATTGCTTCCGTACAGAATGGGATTGATAGGTGAATATTTTGCAAAAGCACCCAACCACCATCGTTCATTGCGTCACTTATCATTCTTCTTGCATGATACTCTTGACCCTGACCCATTGAAACTGATCGTAGTTCTGAAAAAGGTGATATTTTAAATCAGGGTTGTCACAGGTCAGGGATTTTTGTGAAAAGTCAGGGAAATTAGAATTGGTCAGGGAATTAGTGTTCATAATCATTTGAAGAAGCTATACTCACGAACTGCTTTCTGCTTCGCCAGGATCGTAATTTGAGGACTTGGATCAGAACCAATTGATAAAATACAAATAAGAGGAGTTCGTGGTTCAGACTCGAGCCAAGTTGCCTCCAAGTCCAAAATTTTCGCCTCGCCATACTCCTTGCCCAAAGATTCAATAACATATTTCTTCGCCTGCGACAATGTTCTATCCGGACTCCACGAGCGGATCATCAAAAGTTTTCGAAATACATCCAAACTCTTCTGATAACCACAAGGAAGATCCTCCTCCTCCGGTCTCTCCCTCTCGTACCATTGTCTCCATTCTTTTTCACTGAATTCAATTTTCGTCAGCACTTCCGAAAACACTTCCAATTTGCTAATTTCCACCAGATTCAACCAAGTGATATCTAAAATCCAACGAAAGGGTTTTGGAGCCACTGCATTAAGATCGAGTGATGCTCCGCCTTTAATAAACGCCATGAATTCAGCGTGAGAAATTATTCCCCGATGACAATCAATTTTCATCGCAAGCATCAGAGTGAATAATGATTTGTGCCGTTCGTAAAGACTTCTCAATGTGAATGCCCACACCTCGTGGGTAAGATGACAGAGAATGTTGTCAATTCGTTCTAGTGTTATGGAACTTTTCGTTGATTTTGTTATCGAATTGTCGAAAATTGTCAAGAATTGTTTCAATGAATTCTGATACATGTCATTAACGTTTGACATTTCGACGATGAGGAAATAGAGGATTGAACCACGTGCGGCGACGGCTCGGAATTCTTCTCTGGCGATTGTGATTTTTTTCTCAGTAAGAGCTGAGACTTGTAATTTTTCATTGACTGATTCGGCTGTGGATTTCGTTTCTTGGAGGACGTTTATAAGAGCCTCGTCATCTACCAGTGAACCTTCGGATGATGTTAGTCTGTGTAGTAAAGTGCTCTCAAGTTCCTTCATCGATCTCTGATTGGTCATTACCGATTCGAATAGTGCTACCCTCTCAGCTTCGAGTTCGGATTTTTCCATTAGAATCACACGACCAAGGAGCTGATCCTCCAAACCTTGCATTGTGACAGTGAAATCTATTATTGAAGTTTTGGCCGAAATTTCCGGACTGTAGGCGGGATTGGGAAGTTTTGTTGTTATGTAAAGCATGAAACCGGGCATGACGTCGCACTCCTTGTCGCCGACGATGACTTTTTCGATAGAGCCGGATTTTATGAAGTTCTTTTCGAGAACGTTGTCGATGACAGGATCGAGCTCCTCGGCAACGTCTTCGATTAGAAGGGGTCTTCCTAGGGATAAACTGTCTTCGAGATGAGTTCGGAAGTATTTATGATTAAGGGACGTGATTTGCAGTTCATTGGCTGATTCCTTGTTTTTAACCCACATTTTCCCTTGATTTTGAGGATCCATCAGCAGAGGATAGGAGGAGGACTTCGTTACGATCAGAGCATTCTGTACCGAGAGTTCGTCATTTGGTAAACCTTGTAGGGTCCATTCGGAGACTGTGGATGAATCGACTAGCATGTTGATTATGTTTAGATTTTGGGTGAAGGGAATTGTTCTAGTTGTCAGGATGTTCATCCAAGATGATACTAGGGTCGCTCTGTATTGCTGATTATACGGGCCACAGTAGGAGAGAAAACCGGTCGCTAAGAGAACGTCGCCTACTAGTCGCCCCAATTGGACTTTGAATTCCTTACTTTGCTCCGTCCATCTTATCTTCTCGCCACCTAAACCGTTGATTAGAGCTGTTGCAGCTGTCATTTTTCGGAGACAAACGTTCGCCGCTTCGGTTAGTCGCTGCTTTTCGGAAACTGCAGCATGGTATTGTTCCTTAACAGCCTGAAGGGCCATTTCCCTTTCCAACAGTTCGCGTTCAGCGTCTGCAAGATCGTCCATAGCTATCTTGAGTCTAGCTTCCTGGAGTGTTAGATTCGCCTTCAGGGGAAGAACCTCCTTGTTCACGGAATGAAAAAAAGACATTGCTTTCGTCCAAGACAGTAGACCTGCCACATCGCCACATACTCGCCTGGCTGTTTCCATATTATAATCCTCCATTTTGAAATAAGGTTGTAATAACTCTACCATTTCGTTATTAATGATATCCTTTGGATAGTTTTGCAATTGAAGGAGAAAAGTCGCACTGGCCATCATTTTTAACGACTCTGCCCAGGAAGGTTTGGGACACTGAGCTGTAGCATCCGGAACGACGGAACCAATCTTCCTTTGAAAGAGAATAAGCACACAGTCCATAATTCGCATTATCAAATGTGGTGGTCTGCCTAATTTCCGTACAGTCGCTATATGAGCCGGTTTAATTGTATTTAAGGCAGATTCAGCTTCCTCCAAAGCCGGTTTAGCTGCTTCTAATTTCTCCTCCGCTCGGGCTTTCTCATTTGCAATACACTCGACAAGCAGTTCAGCCTTCTCCTTAACCTTCTGCACCTGATTCTTAAAAGTCTCGGCCTGCATCGCCCGTTCGGTGACCTCCAACAATACAGATTCAGCCTTTTCGGATGCTTGCACAAGTTCCTGTTCCATAACAGCCAAGTCCCTTTTTAATATTTCCACTGATATCGAAGCTTCCTCTAACTTTGCTAATCCAGTGTCCATTCTCTTTGCACCCTCACCCAGTTCATGTTGCTTCATATGATAGATGTTCTTATACCCACCAATGAAATTCAGGTACGATTTCGGTGTCACATGAGTCGCTCTTCGGAACCGTTGAAAATATTCCGCAGAAGTTTTCGCCACAACATCCTGTATAGTCCCTAAAGCATTCACCAACTGTCCTTTAACTTCCACAGTACACGCTATTTCGAAATCATGAAGAAAATGTTGCGCCACTAGCGTCAAAGCATCACGTGGCCATGGCTGGAACCAATCTATCGTACACCCGGAAATTAGAGCCGGAAATCTCTGCGCTCTATTTCGGAACTTCTCGCCCACTGGTGAGAAGCAGAAAACAACGTGTAAATTCTGACACGTTCTTTGCAGAAAATGCTCCATTACAATTTCGTTGTTCAACGTTCGTTTTGGATTCTCCCTCTTCAGCGATGGAGTGAGCTCGGAAATAATTTCCGCCTGCTCGTCCCGAGTGAACAAATTACTAATGACACCGGAACTTAAAATATTATTCAGATACTCCAAAAAACCTTCTTCCTTAATATCCAAATCAGTGAAAATGAAAGTTGTACCCTTTCCTTGACCGCCGCAAGTTCTGTAGAGAAATTTTAGGTCTTCCAAAAAGTTCGCAACGTTATAGGATCTAGTCAAGGTGATTTGGAAAGTTTTATAACCGGCGATGAATGAGGAAAGTTTTGTTAGACTCTGCTTTCCAGAACCACCAACTCCGACTAACATCACATTACCCCTTGGGTGTCTAATAACTCTGGAAATTTTCACCAAATGAAGCATTGCGTCCGGAAAGAAGACCAAATCCATTCCGGAACCTCTTTGCATCTCGTTAAATTGCGAGAGAAACATTTCTAATCTGTCTCTTAGTACTTGATGATCATAAACTGGTTCGTAAACTTTCGGTAACTCCATATCAGTGTCTTCTCCTTCCTCTCCCGTTGGTTCTGGTGCGTCCCTGAAAAAACATAATTTCTAAAATCGTTCAAATTTAAAATCATATAATAAATAAATACCTCATAAAATCTACAAAAGCTGGATCTAGATTTATCATGTTAGTATAAGAATCACCGAGGCTATCCTTGACAACTTGGATCAATTCCTTATCGAACCAATTTTTATCAGCTTTTAATGTAAATCGGTCACTAAACACACGGGTACATTCGTGCTTCCACAATAGCATCAATATACTCTCCTTCTCAATGACTGTCGATAAAGTTCCAACCATTCCTTGCCAGATTCTCGATAAATCCCTCAAACTAAAAACATAATGGAACTTTGCCGGAGTTGGCAACAAAGCGTCCCTTGTCTTCTGCCACAGTACCCTTGTCAATGGAACCAATTTCTTTACCAAATTTCTCACTTCAAGAGAAAATCCCCGTTTGGAATTATAATGTCCTTCGCCTAAAACACTAAAAATTCGATCCACCGACGAATCATTCGGCAAAGTGCAATTAAAAATACAAAACTGCCTCTTCAATCTCGAAGGTATGTCATTCCGTCCCCCACCTGGTTGACCCATAGCGCCCAAAAATGTAACATCAACAATACTGGTGAAATCACCAGGTTTCTCCAGTGAGTAAAAACCTTTCATATCCATCGTTTGTCGAACAATTTCATTAGTAATTTGATCACCCCATTCGTTAATTTGTGGAAGATTGATATCGTCGATGAAAACCAACATTTTCTTTCCACCAGGAGGACCGAAAGTGTTTCCCATTCGTTTCTCGACGTAACTTTCAATTGTCTTTTGGAATTGATAGGGAGTTGTTGCCGAGCTGAAATTAAAGGATCGACTCAGAGTTGTTTCTGGATTTGCTCGCTTCATATAGGCTTTCAGCATGACAGTCTTGGCTGAACCTTGTTCTCCAGTCAGTAGTACTGCTCTGTCCTGTCGACCTATCAGATCGATTAAATACTGAATTCTCACATTATCGGGAATTGGCACTAGAATACTGTTGTAATCCGGTGTTGCATAATCCGGATAAACGTAGTTTGTCACTAAACTGTTCCAAACATCCCATTTACCCTTCTCGTTGACGAAAAAATGAAATAGCGTCGCCTTTGGATGTTTTTCCGACTTTGGTAGATCTAGGGATTCAAAATTGTTACGGAGATATTGGTCGAATTTCAGTCTGTCATCAGTTTCGAGTAGAGTGCCTATTCCCCAGATTAAAGCGAAAACGTAAAATCGTCTCAGGTGTTCAGGTGTCATTGGCTGGGGATGTAACTTTTCCCCCTCGTCTTCGTCATTCTCGTTTTCGACTTCTACTTCCTTTGGTACTAATCCTTCCAGAAGGCACAACATTTGTCTCACCATGTTGCACTCTAGAACTTGGATCGAGAGAATAACGTTCTGGGTTGTCCAGGTGTATATCTAGAAATTAGGAAGAGATTAGAAGAAAAGTAAACAAAAGCAAAAAGTGCGAGTACCTGAACGAAGGATTCCTCGAATGATTTTTCGAAAACTTCCTGCTCTAGGGGTGTTCGTCCCTTCAGCCAAGCAGTAACAACTGGATTCCAATCTAAACCCGAAGAGCTCATGTACACCATTCCATTTCTCGAGACAGTCGCAGGACTAGCATTGTCGATATTATGTGGTTCGAATATAATTTTACACGTCGGTGCCATTGATAATCGGTCTCCATTAGCTAGAGTCAAGGTTTTGTTATCATCCAATACCGAGTTCAGGTTCTCAATCCAAATACTATCGACGGGTCCGTCTAAAACCAACCAAACATGTTCTCCAGGTTTTAATTTCAACGTCTTTCGCCATAATGCCGAGAAAATTCCGTCTGTCCAGTCGTTCGTCGCTACGTCCAATCGTCCGAACATCTGAGCAGCTGTTATACTTTTTGGATTCATTCGCATTTCCCTGTAACATTATTTGTCTTTTTCTAACTCTCCGTAAAGTAAACAATAAATCGGACTATTAATGCAATTAACAAAACTGGTTATCATAAAAGAAATAAAAGTCACCTGTGAGCGTCTCCGCATTGGGTCAAAGCTTTCATCAGAACATGAATACAGGTCGTTTTACCAGCTCCGGTTGGACCTAGGGTCATAATTCCATGTCTTACTCGTTGTGTCTCATACAATTGGATCAACTTCAAAACCCAAGGTGGATGATAAATCAAACCAGCTTCCTGAATTTGTTGATCGATCGCAGACTCTAATTCCGGATAGGCCGTCTTCTCGAGAACTTGATTGGGAAATAAATCAGCTACCAATGATATAAAAAGTGGCTCATCCTCATCTAGAAAAGAAAAACAATTCTACTGTTTGCTTTTTGCATTCAAAGACGAATTATCATCGCACGATTACCTATCAGTTTCGAAAGATTCATATCTCGCAGTACACGCATCACTATCGTACTCTCTGAATCCTTCGAATTTGTTCTCTTAGCTGCTCCAAGAGTTCGCAAAACCGAGAGAATATTTCTCAATCCAAAATCATAATGAACTTGTTTCGTGAGTTGTTCCTCGCATAATTTATAAAGAGTGTAAAATTTCCTCGCAAGTGTGATGTTCTCCAGAAAACCGCAACTCGCAAGTTTCACTCTAATAATAATCTGCCTGTCCGGCACCATCATCGCCACTGTTCGAAATTGTATTTTCAAATTTTCCGGCAACTCCTTTCGACCAGCGTAACCTGGATTCTAAAAAAAAAATGAAAGTACGATCCAAGATATAGATTTCGAAACATAAAAGTGGGGAAGAAATTAATTCAAACGATGATAAGTAAATCTACCATGGTGATGAATATTCCTAATTCGGGATTCATGTCAATTTGATCTCCATCTGTGAATATAAATTGCTTCTTTTTTTCTTTCTTAGCGGCTAAAACGACGGCTACTTGTTGTGCGGCCACCGAAAGAACCGGAAGTTCAATTCTGTTGAATTCGTCGAAACATCCCCAGGATCCACTTTGAGCGAGTCCTTTGTAAATACGACCGAGACCTCTGTAGTCCATTTGATCGGAGCAATTGAAAACCACGACGTATTTGGCTAAAGTTTTCCCCATGTCCTTTACTGTTTCGGTTTTTCCCGTTCCGGCTGGTCCGCAAGGAGAGCCTCCCATTGACATCGATAAAGCTTGAGCCAGTGTTATGTAACATCTATTTGTCAGAGAAATTCCTTTGTAAAACTAGAAACAATTCCAAAAGGGTATTCGAAGAATTGCAGAATTTTCGAAATTATAAAAACCTGTCTGTTAGTGGAGTTATCACCAATCTTTCCGTACATCCTAGATATTCGTTCATGTAAGTAAACTGAACGTCTGTTATGTGAATGGCAGTCTTGTCCAGGTCTTCTTTGAAGTAAAATCGACATTGCTTCAACCACTCGAAATCGTTCACTGAACGAACGTTCAAACGGCACTGAAATATATAGAAGAATATAAAACTTTGAAAAATAGTACGTAATTATCAAACTAGATCATACGGACCAGAATGTCGAAGATGTCACGCTGATGAACATGAATTGTAATCAAAGTTTCGAATTTCGTTCTATCAATTTTTGTCAGATCTCTAGTGGTCTGATCAATTAGAGTATTCAGCAATTCTAAAAATCGGTTATTCGTTTCGCCCATAATTTTTTTGTCCGCTTTCGCCTGCATTAGAGCGAGTTCCGCGTCCCTTGTCCAAATCATCTGTATTCCTAGAATGCCAACTTGAGCTGGCATCTTGTCGAGAAATAGAAGTAAATTAAAATTTTGATCATTTATCATAACGTAGGCTTGACGAATTATCGAATGCAAAGATTGTTGGGAAGTTTGCAGAAGTTGCATCAGCCATGTTTCCACTGATCCTTCAGCTCTCACTGCTCTCTCCAGCTGCAAAATTGTATTTTGGTTTTAGCATCAAAGAGTAATTACTAAGAGAAGATTAAAGACTAAAGTCGAAAGACTAAAACTAAAGACGAAGGACTAAAAACTAAAGAATAATAGACTAATGGACTAAATGAGTAATAGTCTTCAATTTTTACAATAATAGTTTCCCCCTCGGATGAGATGATAGCCATCATCTTGTTGTACTCGATATCGTGGAATTTGACAAATCGGGTGTTATCAAAAATTGACAGTAAATGATTCTGAATTGTATGGGAATCGGAAGCTTGGCCTAAAATTTCCAGCAAGGCGGGATCACTGACGAAAAAGAATCTTGGGAACATCATTCTCTTCTTTTCCAAGTACCTGAAAGAAAAAGCATCATTAAGTATACAGAAGAAAGAGGAATAAAACTTTTACCCAGTGGGTAATTTACCGACAGTAGGTAATAGTAGAACACTTACCCACTGAGGGATTTCTGACACAATTCCAATTGCTCCTGCAAATGTGGGAGCAGTTGTTTAAGTAAATCATCCCCGACGCAGCAAGGAACAACTCCAGGTGTTTCATGAGCCCTTTGCATAATCTTCTGCCAACTTTTGTCAATTTTACTAAACCTCTTTGCTTCCTTAGGCAACTGTTTAGCAATGTCACCGCCGACAAAGACCGCCTCAAGATAAACCCACATATTTTGCACCAACAACCACCTCTCCAAAATTTCGTTAGTATTCGACAAATCCCCTAACCATTGTTGTATCTGTTTCCTGAACGGTGCATTGTAACGATTCGACATCAGAGAACCCAGAATCATGAGACTATCCTCGAGTTGTCCAATTGTTTCCGCTGTCGTATCACCTCTCAGCAGCAGTTCGCCTCTATTATTAAAAGTCATGAAGGTCAGTTCATGCGATGACCATTCATTAACAACTTGTCTGAGTTTAGCTTCAATGTCCTTCTCCTTCATCGCCGAAATACAAATATCCTCAATGTCCTCCTTATGCTTCAGTAAAGGCGCCTCAAGAATATTCTTCAAACAAAAACCCTCGCTCTCCAAATCAAACGTAAAACTAGTGACCTCAACAATTCTCTGCCAATGCCTCGGTTTCATCGCCTTATTCGCCATCAACTCCAACAAAGGACACATATCATTAAAATCATCAATTGTCTTCTTCAATGCAAAAAACGCCGGCCATTCCTTCAAACCCTTCGGCAATTTCCGACATCGATTTTGAAATTCCATCAATTCGTTATTTATCTCTTCAATATTGACCTCACCCCAAGGAATATCGTAGTAACTACTAACCCTATCAATAACATCATTGTACAATTTGTACAATTTCTGCAGAAGATTCAATTCCTTTCTGATCTGTGACAATTCGGGATAATCCGTTGTTGGCAGTCCAAATAATTCCTCTCCACTCTGATAGGTTTGTAATTTCCTCCACATTCCATCGAAACGATTTTGAAATAATATCTGTCTGTCTGATGCCTCACGGGGCGTGAGACCTGCTTGCATGGGACCTGAGTGTCTGTACTCTTCGCAATACGTCTCATTGTCGTAACGAAACTTTTCCAAATTGTTCCGCAATTCCTCCTCGAATTGTGGCTGAAGAGTGAGAAGAAGGACGTGACTGTCTAGAGCACGAGCTTGTAGTTGTTGCCAAGTGTAACGGAGATTGTCCACTTGTTCGAGGCATTCACGATCGACTGGCACGTCGTATCTGGTGACGATATTAAAAGCCTCCTCAATCGGATCGATCTTTAATTCCATGTCGACTTCCTGCTCTCGAATTTTTTTCAGAGTCTCCATTATCAGGCGAACGTCATCGAGGTCACGTATTTGTCGATCAAGTTTCCTTTCCATCTCGTTGATCACTGCGTAAACGTACTCCATTTCGCGACGGTACTTCTTCTTCATCGCTTGTCCAATCTTGTGGGTCGATCCTAAAAATGAGATTTTATCACTTGAAATTCTAGGATGAGGTACCATTTTATCATACCTTTAATATCCATATAAAGTCCGTATTTGAGTTTCTCCGTCGATATAGCAATGGACGATCCAAGAATCACCATATCCGGTTCAGTGGCTAATTTATCCTCCAATTCGCCGTGTTTCCTCAGCATACTTTCGAAATTCGTCAAAGAAGTTTGTAACAGCTCCCTAACACTCTTCTCATTCTTCCACAAGAATTTGTACGGTTTCCATCTGTCCATAAAATCATTGAGATCCTGTCGTAAATCCATTGTACACGAACTTAGTAGTCCTAGCATTTTGATAATTTCCTTATTCTCCATAACAAGAGTGTAGAAATTCCTCAGCTGAATTGGAAATTCGGGTCTCTCTTCGGAAAATATTTTGAACAATCTTCGTCGTCTTGTTTTTGGATCTTCTGGGTTTTCTAAACTCTTCTTCTCGGCGTCGATCTGCGCCTTTGACACAATGTCGCCTAGATTCTTCTTTGGCGCCCATGGCAAACTCTTCCAGTGATGCTGTTGATAAACCGTGAAAAATAATTATTACCGATTCAAAACTCGCTGTAAAAATTGCTAATCTGTAGATTAGCAATTTATACAGCGAATTTTGAATCATTAATTTAATTATCATTAATTTTCTTTATTTAAAAGCGGGAGAGAGAACTTACCTTTTCGTTTCCTTTACTTCCTCCAGCGTTCCATTGGGATACACCTTTTGACACTCCGGATATCGTTCTTCCAACGGCTGATAGAGCTTCTTGTACCTCGTCTAAACTTGGACGAACAATTACCGACGGTATCATTAAAGTGGCGTGAAGTAAAAATACCGGTTGTGCTGGTTTCTCTGTACCGAAAAGAAAAAAAATCGAAACAAGTTTTCTATGTTTCTTTAGTGTTAATAAATTGAGTACCTGAATCCATTTCGAGGAGAAATCGTTTTCTAATTGCGTCCAAAGAACTTCGGGTTACTTTAATCAGTACATCGACGACTTTTCGAGAATAGTAACGTCGCATTTCGGAAACGGCATTTCGGACCATTTCCTGCATTCCTTTCGATAAACCGCCACCAGGTGTTGATAGTAATTGATGTGGATTGTCGAAACACGCCCAAACCACTGACCAATCCTGCTGCTGTTGCGATGATGTTTCGGTTCCTTTTTCCTGACCTAATGGATGCATTTCGATTAAAATTCTGTTAACGGGTACCTTCTCCTACAGCATCTAAACTTGCAGCAATATTGACAACATTGTCTTAACATTGTGAAATTTGGAGCAATATTGAGTTGATGTAAGTTTAAATGTTTTATGTTCTGAAAACGTTTTTAGAACATTGGATGTTCTTGAAACGTTATGTAGAGGACATGAAACGTTCTAAAAACGTTTTAGGAACAAGGAACGTTTCTAGAACAAAGAAGCTTTCGTGCCAAGAGGGTACCAACCATCAGCATTCAGGTAATCGAACTGATCAGAATCAGTTACACTTTTGAAAGCCGTAGCCGCATTTTTCACCAATTCCAAAACTTCTTCAACAGCTTCCTCAACCATCATGCTCTTTCGATTCAAATCTTGAGCAGCTGCTCTGCACGTTTCCTCTATTTTTTCGAAAAAGTTTTCCACATTCCATGGCTCGTCCTCAGGAAGAGTGTGAAGAGTAATTTTCTGCATACTTGCCAAAACCTGTAAGATTCTAAAACCTACTTTTTAAACTACTTTTCAAACTACTTTTCAAAATTGGCTAAATTTAGTCAAACTTTGGCTCGAACCTGTTGGTGTAGACGTCATGAACTCGGGTAATGAGGATACCGAACGTCTTTATCTGATCTAGAGTGTTCTGATAAAAATCCTTCCATCCAGTATTCGTCCAAGTGAGGGAGACAAGACCCGGTGTCAGGAGGGATGACACCCTGACAAGATGGGGCAACAGAAGTGGTCTGACTTCTAATTTAACTCTTCTTGACGTTGCGACAAATTCGTCCATCAACAATTGAAGGGAATCATTTATGAGTGTAAAGTGCTCCTTCTTGGACAGTATTGTCAGGGCAACTATTGGTAGATTCAGTTTCATTTTCACTAGACAATCCGATTCTCTAAGAAGCAGTAGAATTCGACTGTCTAGATTCACTTTCACTTTCTCAGTTTCCTGATCTAGTGCCAGTAGTGGTCTGTAAAAAATTTTTTTAATATGAGATTTTTTGCTGTCATTCTGGAATCTAAACTTGCAGTGCAGCATTGAAAAGATTATGTTGGCAATAATATTTGTGAAACTTGAAGCAATATACTTTATGGTCAGGGAAGAATAGTAAAAATTTTGTCTGGAAATCAGGGAAAAACAAAATTAATTTTTTGTAGCAACCCTGTTATATTGATGATACGAACTTTTTTAATGCTTCTTCAATCACCCAGGCATTTTGATGAGTCCAAACTTCTCCAATGTCTGTTTGGTATTGAGAAACAACGGAAATAGCGTGATTGTATCTTTTTATAAGATCAACTGTCACGGGCAGTGTTTTTAAGATGGGATGACAAGACACTGAATTTGCGAGATCATCTAAATGGACCCTGAAGAAAGTTAAGTTCTATTTATCTCTGATTATTATTATTATTATTATTATTATTATTATTCACAATTTTCTTGAAAGTATCAAATTGATACTAAAGATCAAATTGATGCCAAAAATTTGGAAAAATTTTTGATTTGATCCAAATTTTTGGTATCGCAGTTCGTTGCAATTTGATACTTTTAAGTTAACAATGTTGTTCTTAATTCAAATTTTATATTCTTTATATTCTCTATCACCAACTTTAGAGAATGTGCCCAAATTAATCTTCCAGCAATTGGTGGCAAATGCCTCGGCAATGGTGGATCGTCCCTTTGTTTTTTGAACAATTTCAAAATTCGTTCGATTTCCTTGTCACAATACCGAACGACGAGGACGTATTTTTCGTCTAATTTTGTCAAGGGGATTTTTGCGCTTACCTGAAATGATAAATTTTTTATTTTTTATTTCTTCAGATTTGTTTGTTTGAAATGACTTTGTACTATTCTACAAAAAGTTACTATTTAATAATTTTTTTTAGTTTGTTACTTTTTTTTGGTTACAAGATTTTTGGATTTAAGATACAATATTGACAATGTTAATATTGTAAGATTCGATCAAGATTGAAATAATCAATTTTCAATTACACTTTCAAAACGAGTTAGAAAACGAATACTTTGTGGTGTTTCCCAAACGTCGGCATAATTTTTCTCAATTATTTCGCCGATATCTTTTTTCAAAATATCCGTCTTCTTCATCAGTTCATCATAGTCTTTGTCGAATTCCAAATTTCTTGGATCAAGATAGTCGTAGGACTTGCTGGTTGCTATTTTCTTTGTCTCGTCGAACGTTTTCATTGCTTCATCCAAAGCTGAAAATTTTATTCTCTTATTTGGAATTTTTAAAATAGATGTAGAATTTTCAATGACAAATTTAAATGACAATGCGTGTGGTAATTAGAATTTTAAATCTTAAATGATTACTGTAGATGATCGTGGAATTTTAATTAAATTTTGTTTAATACCTTCTCCTAGTAATAGGCCCTCCATTCGCCTCTTGAACAAACCTTGATAGACTTCAATAAGGTCGAACATGGTAAGAATTTTTTTGATTCTCGCACAAAATGAATCGAATCTTCCAAAAACTTGCGTCTCGGAGAAAATGAATTCCTTCTCTGTAATTGCTGGCGAGCATCTCACGAGACGATACGTTTCTCTGTAGGCTCTATGAAATCAAGTGAAATGAAAATTTGGATTTAAAAATATTCACTGTGTCAAGTCAACGAATTTTGATGCCAAACATTCGGATCAAATAAAAAATTGATCCAAATTTTTTGATACCAAAAATTTGGATCCAAAATACCAAATTTTTGAATTTACCAAAAATTTGATACCAAAGATTTGGATCAATTTTTGATTTGATCCAAATGTTTGGTATCAGTTCGATACACTTTAGCATAAATTTGATACTTTCAAGAAAATGAAGTTAAAATTATGCATAATGATCTTTTTACAGTTTTTAGTTTTTACTTTTGGTTTGATTAATTGATTTGATTTAGATTCAGATTTTGATTTGAAATTTTAAATACTTATTTAATCGTAAGCAATGCTTCAATCTCTGCCTCGCGATACTTCTGTCCTGGCTCCAAACATTTTCCCGCCCCCGTTGGGTAATGTAATCCCTACAAGCTGCAATCATTTGATTTGTAATTTTCACCATTAGCGAACTGGTTCTCTCCGAAGTGTTGTAATATCTCGAGACACTGTAAATCAGTCTCACGGTTTGTAAAAGTGACACCAAGGAGTCTCGCATTCTCACCTAAAATTAAAAAAAGTTTTCTAAGGAATCCAATTTGGATAAATTTATTTGTTAATTTGCAAAAAAAAAAAAAAATGATGATTCACCGGATCGTCAAGGTAGAGACAGTGACAGCATTTTTCTAAAGCTTGGATGAATTTCGCATTGTCCTTCGCTTCATTGAAGCAGTACGTGACCTCATCTTCTGTGTCCACCCAATTTTTGATCAATTTCGATCTCATTACTTGAAGGCACAGGAGTGACATTTTTATCTCATGATCCTAAACAATAGGAAATACAAATAGGAATACAGATTTTTCTACAGATATCAAATTGAGAATAAAAAAAAAACGAATCAAAAATGTTGCTTCACAACACTTTTGATTCGTTTTTTGATTCTTAATTTGATATCTGAAGAAAAATTGTGAATACGAATTGAGTTCAAATTGTTTTTCTTGTTTAATTGTTTGAATTTCTTTTCTGGTAAAAGTTCACAAATTGCTTCCTCATAGAGGAAGTATTTTTTATGCTATTCACAAATTTTTTTTGTTATTCACAAATTTTTTTGTTATGCACAAATATTTTGTGTTATTCACAAATTTTGTTTTTTTATTAAATCGGATTTTAGGAAATTAATTCTTTTTTTGGAAAGTACCTGTAATTTCTTGACAAGTTGACTGAATTGCGCACCTCTGCGTTTCCAGTATTCTAATTCCTGTTGGGGACCGGAGCAATCATTTTCCCTTCGGATTTGCTTACTCTCAAGAATGAAATCCTTTAAATTCTTCGTCCAAACACGCACTCGATTTTCGACTTTTTCCCCTAATTGAATATTTGAAACGAAATTCTTGGCTTCCTCGAAATTGTGAATGTCATCCATTAGTGATTCGCCGTCATCGAAAATGCTTCCATCTTGGGCGACTTCCTCGCACACTGCACGAAATTTACAAAGACTAATTCAGATTAATAGATTTTTCGTACCAAAAAAAAACACTTTTGTTTATAAATTTTTTTAATTCTATAATTATAATTCATGATTCGCACTCAATTACTAAAACCTACTATTTATTACTTTTTTTATGTTATGCTACTATTTGGGTACTTTTTTTAGATTTCAGCCACTAAAAGCTACTATTTCTGTCTTTTTGAGAATTTACTTTAAATTCCCTAATACTAGAAATCAAAAAACTTCTGAAAAATTATAGTCTCAAATTCTTTAAAACGATTCAATTATTTAAAAAAAATATTCGAAATTCTATTTTCAATATCTAGTATTTTCATAAAATTTCGCAAAAGAATTCAATTACTTAAAAAAAATTGATAAAGTTTCATCAAAAATTCAATTATTTCCAAAAAGAATAAAATTTCAACAGGAATTAAATTAATTTAGAATAGCATTTTAAAAAAAATTTCAAAAAAATCAATTATTTAACAAACTTTCTATTATAATTCTTCACAATAATTCAATTACTTTCACTAATAATAACATTTTTCATGGAAATTCAAGTTTAAAAAAAAAATTTTTTTGATAAAATTCTAAGCAAGAATTAAATTATTTTTATAAATAATATAACTCATCGAAGAAATTCAATTATTTTTAATAGTATTTTAAATTAATTAATCAAAAACTTCAATTATTTTCACTAGTTCTAATTTTCACAAATAAAGTTTTCCACAAGAATTCAATTATTTAAAATAAAATTTTCATAATATTTATTATATTTCGGAAAAAAAATTATTTAAAACAATGTTTACAAAATTTCTTATAAAGAATTCAATTATTTTCAAAAATCACAAAATTTTTCACTGAAATTCAATTCTTTTTAAACATTTTAAGAAAATTTTTCGCAATAATTCAATTATTATTTTCATAAATACTAAAATTTTTCTCAGGAATTCAAATATGTTTGAAAATTTAAATAAAATTTTTTGCAACTATTCAATTATTTTCATAAATAATAAAATTCATCGCAGGTTTTCAATTATTTTTAATACAATTTTACAGGAATTATTAAAAAAATGTAATTATTCTAAAAAATTTAATTTCAATTCTTTGAAACAATCAATTATTTAAAAAAATGTTTTTTTTTTAAATTCTTTGGAAGAATTCAATTATTTACAAAAAAAATATAAGGATTTTTTACTGGAATTCAATTATTTTCAAAAAACATAAGAATTTTTCACAGGAATTCAATTATTTTCAAATATTTTAATAAATTTAAATATTTTTGAAAATTTTAATAAAATTCTTAGCAACTATTCAATTATTTTCATAAATAATGAAATTCTTCCCAAGTATTCAATTATTTACATAAATAATTATTCGAAAGAATTCGATTATTAAAGATAAATAACAAAATTATTTCCGAAAGTTCAATTATTTTGAGACATTTTAGTAAAATTGTTTGCAAAATTCAATTAATTTCATAAATAACAATATTCAGCACAGGAATTCAATTATTTTCAAAAGTAATAAATTTCTTCTTGGAAATTCAATTATTTAAAAAAATTCTAATAAAGTCATTTGCAAAAATTCAATTATTTTTCATATGTAAGAAAATAGTTTTTACGATTTCAATTATTTTCAAAAAAAATTTAATAAAATACCACACAGACATTCAATTATTCTAAAAAATTTTAATAGAATTCTTTGTAAAATTTAATTATTTTTAAAAGCTTTTCCTAGTTCAATGATTTTTATTATCTACTATATTTTCATAAAATTTCCAAACAGAATTCAATTATTTAAATTTGAATTTGTATAAAATTAGTCGAAAGAAATTAATTATTTAAAAATTTTTATAAAATTCTTCGCAAAAATTAAATTATTTTTATAAATATTTAAAATCCTTTCGCATGAATAATAAAATTCGTTGCAGGAATTCGATTTATTAGTAGGATAAGAAAGAATTAAATATTTTTGATGAAAATTAGGAAAAATGAGGAAAATAAAATATAGAATGGAATTTTTGTCAGTTTTGTAAAGTTTCTAAAACGAGTTTTTTTGGTCGTCAAGTTTAATTTTTCGATAGCTACTTTTTTACTACATTTTTTTAGTTTGAAAGCAACTTTTTTAAAATTAATTTTCGAGTACTAAAGTTATAATTTTTTTTTATAGTTTTAATTTTCAAATAGTATTTCCTTTATAGTTATACCTTTGAGAGCGCTGCAAAATGATCGTAGACCAGGAAGTAGAAGACTTTTAATCATGGAACAGTCGTCGTCATCCTCAATTCCAGGATGTGCGAGCGCATCCATAAAAACAAATTCAACAATTCTTTGAATCGATGGTATCACTCCTACTTTCCTGGTGTCAATCACACCCGTATAGAGATCCTTTTGAAAACCCTCTTCCGGCAATTGTTTCGTGACACTAATTCTGCAAAAATTCAATAATGTAAATTAAATATTCAGTTGTATATGTAAATTTTTAAAAATTCCAATCAATGATGGAAAATTGTTTTCATTATATATATATTTTTTTTGCATAAAAGTAAAATGTGGTACCGAAACATATAGACACAAATTCCCGAACAGGGAACCTGCCAACCATCAGTGAGAAATAATTTCTTCTTTGGAGGATCCTTTGGTTCCTTTATTTCCTTAACTTTTGGCGCTGTCGCATTTCCTTGTGGTCTGGAGGTGCTCGTCTTTGGTGCAACCTTTTGAAATTTATTAGTTAATTACTATTAGTAATATTATCAATAATAACTTATTTATTATTAATAATAATAATTTATTTATTTATTATTTTAGAAAATTTATATAGAAATTATTATAAATAATGCTTGTTTTTAAAAAATGTTTTTAATTACAAATAGTGAAAAAGAATTATTTCTAATTATTAAAAATTAAATTATTAAAATAATAATAGTAATGAAATTATTTTAGTGATTGAAAATACCGTCTCGGTTATTTTGGGAACTTCCGGTTCGTCAACTTCTTGATAGTACCACATGAGAGTTGACTTCATGTGCGGTAGGAATAATTGATTAATTTCGTCAAGCATATCGCCTTCGAAAACATTATCCATTACTTCGTGGCGGGGAAGTCCCGTAGCGTCCATCAATAATTGAAAAGCAAATTCGAGACGTGGATCCATTTCTCCCCGACGTGCTTTCCTCTCGCATTCTTCACGTCTTTTCTAAAATTCAAAAATTAATTCTCTCTCTATTTAAATAAAATATTGCGAACAAACAACTTTTTATACAAAAATCATCATTTTTCTTCAGATGCTATATAAATGTGTGAAGTAGATAATAAAGATAAAAAAATGTCTCCAACAGTTTTTGCCTAAACTTTTTTCTCCATCATCCCCAATTCTTTATTACGTTATTCTATTAATTTATTTTTATTTAATTAATTTAAGTAATTAATTACTTTTAATTTTAATTAATTGGTGCTTAATTTCTATTGTAATCAATGATTCATTTTAATATTTTTATGAATAAATTTATTTAATCATAAATAATTAATTAATCATAAATAATTTTATTTAATTTATTTAATTTATTTTTTTATTTTTATTTATTTATTTAAAAAAAAATTTTTTTTTCATTACATTTATGCGATTAATTTTAATTATAAATTATAAATTAAATAATTCTTTAATGATAAAAATTTTAATATTCTAACTAATTATTAATTAATTTCAACTGTAATTAATGAAAAAATAAAAAAAATGTATTGTCTGATAATTTTGAACCTGAAGTATATCATCTCCAGTAGCTTCTTCCTCACTAGATTCTTCTGTATTTTCCGATCCCTGTGGGACCATTTGTGGTCCTTGAACGAACATTTTGACAATTTTGGAGATAATTAAAAATTTAATGGGGAAAAAATATTTTTTTTTTTTAGAAAAAAGTTTTTTTGTTCTTCACATATTAGAAGATTTTGAAAAATTTGTGAACTTATAAAAGCGAGTAAATTCTAATACTATCGAGAATGTTTTGGAATGGAAAGTGACGATGCATGGTGAGAAGTGAGGGTGCGAGGTAGGAAGGTGTGAGTATCGTGTTTGGTACCTGGTACCACCCCCTCTCACCCCTCATTCGTATTATTCTATCCATTCTCCATATTCAATCTTAAAATTTCAATCGACCTGTGACAGTTCGTTTTCTGACTTCTAAGGTGTTGAGGAATTTTTCCCGCAAAATTTTAGAATATCAAAATACAATAATACCCAAAAAATACCAAAATACCAAAAAAAGGTAAATAAAAATATACAAAAAAATTAAAATACTAAAATAAAAAAATACCGAAATACAAAAATAACAAAAAAATAGTTAAAATTAAAAAAAAAATCAAAATACTAAAATACAAAAATACCGAAATACAAAAATGCCGAAAATATTGAACATTTTTGGAAAAATGAAATAAAAGTCATTTTAGAGGAAAACTATTATTAATCAGGTAAAATTATTTCTTCTAAACCTAATAACCTTATCATTATTTTTAATTCTTTTTGTAATTATTTTTTATTTTCTTCTTTTCCTTTTATTATTTTTTAAATTCATTATCATTAGCTATTATTGTGTATTTTATTTTTATAATTTAAATGACTATAGTTTATATAATATTAACATTAGTACTTTTGCATGAAAAGGAGTTTTTTTGCAATCCCGTTAATATTAAATAAATAAATGTTCACGAATTAATTTCCAATGACTTTTTTTTTAATGATTTACAATTTTGGTTAACAAAATGCAATGTAAAATTAATTACATTTCGTGAAACAAAAAAAAATTCGTTTGCATTTAAGTAAAAAATAATAAAAATAAGAATAAATGAAATAAATGTATAAAAACAATTACAAATAGTATAATAATAACAAATACATAATAATAATAAATATAAATAATAATAATAATCAATATAAATAAAAATAATAATATAAAATTATAAAAAAAATTATTTGCATTATATTCAGTACAAAATAATCATTTCTAAAATTGTTAATCGAATAAAAAGCTTAAAATAACAAAAGAAAAATGATTTAAAATTTTTCTAAATTATTTTGTAATTCTAATAAATAAATTTATTTTATATCTTACTTTTGCATCGTTCACATCTTCTGCCATTTTTGTTGTCTTTAATTTTAATTAATTCAATTTAATTTAAGTTTTTTGTATTTTAATCTAATTAATTAAAAATGGCAATTTGTCTTTTTTGTTTTGTATCAAAATGGAATTAAATTTGTTTTCAAACTTTTCTATAGAAATTTTTCCTTTTCAAATCGTTCTTTTCTCTCTCTTTTCTTTATTGTATATGAAGTTCTTACAATATTACGACATTAACTGCAGAGAGTCTTCAACAAACTCGATGTCATCAGTTTTCTTTTCTTCCCCTTCCTTTTGTCCTGTTAGTTCCATTTCCGCTAATAATAAACCTGCTTTAAGGACAAAACAATCTTCTCCACTTTTCGTTCGTTGTGAAAATCGATTTAAACTCTTTAGAAACTTTGCCATTTTATAGGAACAAGAATCTTTTTTTTTCTATCTGTTATTTTTTTTTTTTTAATAAAATTTCTTTTTTTTGGAGTAATTTAAAAAATTAAAATTATTAAATAAAAAAATTTAAATTTAAATAATATATTTTGAACAATACAATAATTCAAATAACAGTTAATTTTGTCATTATTTAGTATTTTTATTTTAAACGTAAAAATTGTATGAAAAAATTTGTCACTCGATTAATTTTGAAAATTAATTCTTGTTAATTTCGGAAAATTTGTTTTAATTTTTATCGATTGGAAATTTTTTCGATTAAAATTATTTAATTTTTGGGAGATTAATTAAAAATTAATTAAATTTAAAATTTTAATTTATTTCTGATTTTAGTCAGAATTGAAGGAGATTTATTGAGATTGAGCAGACAAGTAGTAACAGTCTGTGTCAGGCCAGACACAATGTCAACGCACTCTGTTGAATTTAAAACAATCGGTAAAAATAAATATTTAGAGAAAACAAAGAAAAACGACGAAAAATAAAAAATTACAATTCACAAACAATAAAGAAAAATAAAATCAAAATCTTAGTCGCAAAAATATAAAAAATATAAAAATATATCAGAAATAATTTTTCCTGTAATGTAAAAATTTTTCTCACAAATTTTTCATATAAAAATATAAAAATTTCTTGAAGGGAAAAAATAAAAAAAAAACCGCTTAAAATAGATTTTCAACGATAAAAATAGATTTTACGTATGTACTTTTTCACCGACAGTTATTAAAGCCTTTGGCACGAAGCCAACATTCAAATCATCGATCGAAAAATGAAAAGAAATTTTTTCTCAAAGCAAACTTTTTTACAATTTTTTTTTATAAATTTTTTGTTTCCTAATATAAAAGTATCTTTGTAATTATAAAAATTAAAAATTAAAACTACTATTACCAAAAATGAGAATGTAAAAATTACATTGATAGAAATCACTTTTTTACAATGAAAAAAATAATTAATTATTTTCGCTAGAAATTAAATTTTCCTTTCTTCTTGAAAAAGGAAATTTAAGAAAAAAAAATTGAGTCTATTTCCTGGAGGAAAAAAAAGGAGAAGCCTTTTGCTACACAAAAAAGTCACTTAAATGAAAAAGTGACCTAGATTTTCTGAATATAAAGACCATGGTCGAGACTCTACTTGAGTGTGATGTGGAAAATGAAAACGAAAGGTAAGAAAAACTTAAAGTGGATGATAAAAAGAGAAAAGAAAAATGCACGAGGACCAGGTAAATAATAATTATAAAACGTTGTTTGTGTTGAATGAGAAATTACTTTATATCTACGTCTCTCACTGTTTATTTTTGGAATAAATAATTTCTATATTCTAAATTCTAGGACAATAATCGTTTAATATTGTACCTTTATCATCGGAATCGCCTCACTTTATCATCGCATTATTACACATTTCCTGTAACCTAATTTATATTTTCAAACAGCAACTTTTTTATCAAAGGAAAATTTTTTCTCTCATTGTTAATTTTTGTTTCTAAGTTTTATCTAAACGAAATTTTAATTAATTAATTAGTTAATTAATTATATTAATTTTATTAATTTTTTAAATTTTTTTTTCGCACCTAGGTACAGTTTTTCTAAGGATCAAATTGAGACAAAAAACGTATCAAAATTGTTACCAATTTTGATACGTTTTTTGTCTCAATTCGATGAACATAGAAAAATTTTGTTTTAATTAAAAATAAATTATTTGAGTTAAGTAAAAGTATATTTGTCTCAAAAGTCTAGAAAATTATTCATTTGTTTTGAATAAAAAATTATAATCGACACAAATATGTTTTATTTGACAAAAATAAAGTTTTTATTTTAAGAAGAAAAAATTTAGTTGAAAGAAATAAAATTAACTTGAACCAAAGAAAATTAATTTGAGACAAAGAAAATTTAGTTGAAAGAAATAAAATTAACGTGATTCAAGTAAAATTTATTTGAACCAAAGAAAATTTATTTGAATCAAAGAGAATTACCTTGAATCAAGTAAAATTTACTTAAAACAAATAAAGTTTATTTGAATTAAATAATTAAGTAAACTCTGAGTCAAGTTCACTATACTTTTCCAATTCTAAAAATAATAATACAAAATAATTAAATTCAACTCCATTTTTTTTTTTGAGAAAAAAAATTTTGATAGTTTTTGTTGCTTATCGAAAATGTTTAACGATATAATATTTTTTTTTTACTATACAAAGTGTGGTATGTTCGTTCGAACGTAATAGGCCTTTTTGGAGAATAATATTTTTTCTCTTTTCACGATTTTATTTAGGAATTTTCAGAAGAGTGAAAAATGTGCATGAAAAGTGATAGTTTTCAAAAATTGTATACAATAAAAATGTCACGGAGTGAGTAAAAAATTTAAATTATATTGCATTCGTCTTTTTCTATTAAGATATTATTAATATTATTATAATTATATCGATAATTGCAATTAGTAACTAAAATCGTGAAATTTTTACAATTTTCGTTTTTCCGAAAAAAAATTTAATTTTTAATTTAATTGTTCACAAAACTCAAAAGATAAATTTTTGGGTGAAATTTTAATTTTGACAAATTTTTGTAAGTAGATAAAAATAAATATTAGTTAATTAATAAAATAAAAAATTTCTAGCTCTAAAATTGGAATTAGTAAAAATATTTACAAAGTTAAATCAGTGACTGACTTTTTGCTTTTAAATTAATGAATTTTACTAATGAATTAGTAGAAATGACTATTTATTTGTAAAATATACTAATTAAAAAGCAGAAAGTTAATTTTTTAGTCAGAATTAGTAAATTTTACTAACAAATTAGTAGAAATTACTATTTATTAGTAAAATTTACTAATTCAAAAGCAGGAAGTCAATTTTTATTCTGAATTAGTAAATTTTACTATATAAATTAGGTAAAATTGATATTTATTAGTAAAATTTACTAATTCAAAGGCATAAAGTCAGTTTTTAGTTCGAATCAGTAAATTTTACTGATAAATTAGTAGAAATTACTATTTATTAGTAAAATTAGTAAATTTTACTGATAAATTAGTAGAAATTACTATTTATTAGTAAAATTAGTAAATTTTACTGATAAATTAGTAGAAATTACTATTTATTAGTAAAATTAGTAAATTTTACTGATTAATTAGTAGAAATTACTATTTATTAGTAAAATGTACTAATTCAAAGGCAGAAAGTCAGTTTTTAGTCCGAATTAGTAAATTTCACTGATAAATTAGTAGAAATTACTATTTATTAGTAAAATTTACTAATTCGAATGCAGAAAGTCAGTTTTTTGTCCGAATTAGTAAAGTTTACTATATA